AGTGATAATTTGTGAAACTCAATCATTTTTAATACCTCACAGTTTCGATAAAATTAAATTAATGTTTTTCCATGGGTAAGATAAAATATTTAAAATTATAATTAGATTAAATATCAAATTAACTCAACACTCTGAATATTTAAAGACCTGCTGAGGCTAATTATACTCAACATTATATTAAAGACTCATCACAAATTTTAAGTCATAGAAGTTTCAATAAGAATCGTCCAACAGTTTTGTATATTTCTGGATGGTTTATGAATCCCAAATCCGAGAATTCACAATTTCTTATCAAAGCTTATTTAAAACGTGGCGATTACAATCTTCTAGTTCTGGACTGGGGTGATTATTCAGTCGGATTTTACGATGCAGTTATGATAAGAATTTCGATAATAGCAAGAATAATTGGTGAAAGTTTCACAGAACTTTTCGATAATGGTTTAAATACCAAAACATTTCATTGTGTCGGACACAGTTTTGGAGCGCACGCTTGTGGAATTATAGGACGCGAATTGTATCGTAAATCGAATCAAAAACATAAGCTCAATAGGTTGTCACAATATAAATTGAAATATCAGCTAAAAATATTAATTTAATAATATTTTGATATTCACAGAATAACCGGACTAGATCCAGCCGGTCCCGGATTTTTTCCTGTTGCTTCTTTTGAAAAGCCTTTAAATAAAAACGACGCAGAGTTTGTTGATGCCATTCATAGTGATGTGTTTTTTGTAGGAACAAAATTTACAGTTGGTCATGTAGATTTTTATCCCAATTTCAATATGATGCAACCTGCTTGTCCGAGTCCATCAGCTGATAGCTTCTTCGACTTTGTTAATCGTAAGAAACTTTAAAAATTTTTGAGAATCATGAATATTCATTTGAAATATTTAATTAACAGTAATGTGCAGTCATTTAAATGCTGTTCGATATTTTGCTGATTCAATGAAGCGGGGAAATGGAAAATTATTTCCAAGTCGGCAATGTGACAGTTGGGAAGAATTCATTGAAGAAAAATGTCGAACAAACACTCTCAATTATATGGGAATTCAAGCAAATCCCAAAGCTCAAGGTAAATTCTTTTTAAAAATGAAGTCAAAAATCTACATTAATGGCAAAGATTTCTATGGTTGGGTTGTAAATCGCATTGAAAGTAGATTAATAAATTTAATAAATTTTAAATTTTAATTCGCCTATTCAACAACCAGAGCTTATTGAAGTTTATTTAAAAAAATCAATCAATGTTGATGAAAAACTTGTGTTTGCTCTTTTTATTTTTGCATTTGCACCTCATGGTAAATAAGTTATTTTTTCCCAAATGGATTATTGTTTCCGCCATTACCGGTACATTGAAACATGAAATATTTATTGAAAAAAAAGCCGAATTTCCATTTGTAGAATGTTTAATTTATGGAAATTGTTTTCACATACAATTTTCATTCTGTTTTTCGTTTATATTTTTCTCTGTTCATTCATTTTCAATATGCAATATTTAAATATTGCACAAATTGCTGATCAATAGCCATAATATTTATTTAACAATTGATGTTTTGTTTGAAATAAAATTTTCCGTAATTGTACAAAAAAAGGAAACAGGACGTTTATTAAAAATTCATTTTGCAAAATGATTCAAGCTGAGCTTATAGTTTGAGTCTATTTATGGTTGGAGAAAAAATAAACTGGAAAGAATTTTAAGGATCAAAGTCATAAAATTTCTTTTGATGTCGTCACGTCGTCGGGTTTAATCCAAAACACATGTTGGACTTGAGATTTGGGTTAAATCTTGAGTCAAGAGAATTATTTTGTTATTCGGGATGAGACAAAATAATATTTGCCTTCACCTAAATTCATCAATGCAATCGAAATAAAGTTTCGCATCAGTCCTTTTGTCATTTCCCACCATTTCCAAGTCAAACACTCGTAAAGTAAATCACAGAACATCATTGTCAATCCAACTTTTTAAGGGTGATGAGACAATTGTTCCAGTTAGTTAATAGCCATCAGCACGTTTTTTAGACCTTCTCACATAGTTTTTTAGAAATTTAATATGAATTGTGTTAACCAGAAGATTGATTGACTGTCAATTATGCTTGAGAATAAGTCGATCAGTGTTGTTAATTATTCTTATTGACCAACGTTTAAGTAGACATTAAAGAGTCTCAAATTTCTTCAGTTGATTTATTTCGAGTTTGCAGCTTGCATTTCTGTGACTTGGAATGTCGTAAAAATAAAAGACCCAATAACATAATAAATGTTTTAGCTTTAACGACTCACATATTCAATTCTTTAGTTTATGAATTTCCAATTACGATCAATTCATGTTGCAAATATCTATAAACAAATTATTTAAGTGGAAAAGTTTTTTTTGTTCAACGATATACCAGCAATAACATCTATAACAATAAATTTGCGTAGAAGTTTTTTATGAATTTGGGTTAAACAACATGCAATTGTTATATTTATTTGTATGATTTTCTATGAATATTCAACGGAAGTTCATAAAAAGAGGGAACATAAAATTTTAGTTCTACTTTCAGTGTGCATCATATTTTGACCATCAAAAATCAAAATAGTTTTGTCTGTCTCGATTGAGTGATTTTTACGATAATCACCGATTCATGTTGTGTATGTTTTGAACGTTCTAAACAGCAGAGTAAGCAGGAAAAAGGGAAGTATGAGGATAATAAATTTGTGTGTTATTTGCGTTTACCATGTGAATTGAAAATGTTAGAGTGTGGAAAATCTTCTCATGTCCAGGAACTGTTCACGAAACAATTGAATAAAAATTGGGTATTGCGTATTGATTCGAAAAAACTCAAAATTTATGATGTAATCAAATCGAAACGTGTGTCAATCTCATCAAACATCATTCAAACAAAAAGTGTCATCGTCATTTTCACACACAAAAACGTTGTCCTTTGGTAAACAAATAAAATATTTTTGAATGTTACACTCTATAAATTTTTATGATCCTCCGTCTCGTGACTTTTGATTTTTCAAATGATATTGCAGTATTTAACTTTTTATTTTAATTCCTTCTTTTGTTACTTTGATGCATTTTCATTATTTATATTTGCAATCATTTCCATATTTCATTAAATGTTATGAAAACAATTTTATCAGCCGCAGGCATGCTGCAGATGCATCTAATTTTCGATGTGAATGATTTCAGTGAGTATGGCAGGAATCCAAAGACTTTTTCTGTCATAAATCTTTAAACAGTTTTTTGTAAATTCCACACATAACTTTCTCATCCTTTAATGTTTCTTCTGTCAAGTTAAGATGTTTAAAGTTCAAAAGAATATTTTACTTGCATCTTATTTTGATTATGCAACGTCCCAATGTCGATGAGACAAAAAAATCAAATAAACTTTAAGATGTCCATTGTGAAGTGTTGATTACATGATTGAGAAAGAAGCAGACCTATGTCAATTGTAATCGTCTGTTCAAACCTTTGAAGATACTCGAACGAAATGAATTCAATTTTCTAAAGTTCTTTACATCAAATAACATAAAAATTGAAATATAAACTTATTTGTGTTTTTGAATTGAATTTGCATTTAAAAGGACGCATTAGACCACGATAAATGTGATAGAATAAATAAGAAAAATTGGACTGAGACAAGACAAAATAAGAGAAAAATGATTTATGTCTTTCGCTTGAATTATTGCTCGGAAAGTGAAGTGAAGAAAGGAAAGAAGGGACGGTCAAGTCTTCTTTTCATATGATGTAAGCATCCAGTGTTTGTTTTGTACTTTTTTAAAATGAAATTGTATTTAATCAACGCCATAGCATGAAAAAGAAACGAAGCAAGCTATCGTCCAACTCCGAACACAAGATTTACTGTTTCAAAAGGATAAACAGTTGATTAATGACTTTGTGAATATATGTAGTTAGGGGCACTCTAGATTTCGTCGTAAGATTCGATAAATCCTTGAGCATCATAGCATTACAAATTAAAAGAGTCACTGCGCAAAAGGACACTTAGATTTGATGACTTGCAATAGCAAGATTTCTGTTTTAAAATCCATAAAAAGTTTTTTTCCGTCATCATGTTTGGTCACTTCTAAAATTTCTTCTGTCTAATTTGTTGTCACAAAAACTTTCATGAACAATGAAAATTCTCATTAAGCCATCATCACGTTTGAATATCATAACTTAATTATGGAAAATGCATTAAAAGAAGTATCAAAATACGAGACATGTATCTCTTACGCACTGAGAGATTTCTACAAGTTCTGACAGATTTTAAGGTGAGTTCGACTTGATATAATGGAATAATTTGGAATAATTTCCACTCGAGGGAGTTCAGACATATAATAATTCGAGAAGTTAGACGCAATATTGTTCCTGTTGACAGGATATTCTTGTATGCCGGATTACTGATTCCATTTAAGTCAAATAATAAAAAAAGGCCATTTATCAGAAACTTATTACAATAAATACCAAATATAAACATCAACAAATGTGTTAACCACTGCACCATATTCGAAATAAATCATGAGACAGATTAATGGGCTTTACAGGTAGAGATGGACAGTTTATGAAGCGGTTGGCCGTATTGTGGTTAAGACCAGCCGATAAAGTTAAACTCCTTACAGTCAGAAAATTTTGATTTATGCCATGAAATCATGCTTCACTTATCCAATAATCGCACACAAAAGTCTTTTGATCAAACAAGCGATGCTCTACCGTTTGTTTTATGCCGGTGAATGTTGTGGTATTTTAATTAATTTTCTCATTTTTGCGAGTCGATGAAAGGCCATGAGTAACCACATTAAAACTCAATTTAATTCAAATTCTGTGGTTAAAGGAAATGAAACAATTTCATTTCGAGAGTTTTCCGGAATGTTTTTAATTGGAAAATATAAAAAAGAATTAAGTTCAAAACTCAACTTCAATAATCACAGTTTCATGTGAAAAATAAACAAAAGGCATTAGATCCTGTTTGACAAATATCTAAGCGTGTCTCTCATGTTATACCAGACAAGTAATGGAACGTTCAGAGGGATTTTTGATTGATCATTTTAAATTGTGACAACAACCGCGACGATTCTGTTTTTTAAAAACATTAACAAAATGAATGATAAGCGTTCAAAAAGGGCTTTTGTCATGGGACAATCCTTCTCGTTTGACTAGTGCGCTTTGTATTCTTTTTTTAATGGAATATTGATGTTTCTTGCTTTGTTATCTACTGTGAGACTTTTTTTTTATTTCAATTGTTGTGATTTCTATTTTAAAAACTTTTCTTTTTCCAATATTTCAAAACAAGTTGTTGAGTTAAATTATTTACGTAAAAATGAAAATTTTATGATTTCTTGCATTTTATTTTGTACTTTCATTCGAATGAAGAAGTCTAATAAAGTTGCTTCTATTTCAAATGCACTGCGGGAGATTCTTTCGTGAAAATGAAATGTGTAAGCGTAATTTTCATCGAGTTAAATTTTAATCGGTGTGTTGAAGGAATTTTTTCTTTTATGAAAAACAGAAAGCAGGAAAATTATTTTTAGAACTTGGGGAAATGTCACGCGATTTAATGCATTTGCGGTCAAATATTGAAGTCATTTTATTAAATTACAGACTATAATCTCTTCATTAATGATTAAAAAATATAAACTGCGGTCGTAAATATTGTGATCAAAGTTCTTATCTCCGAACTTTACTAATTCTACTGTCATGCTTCAAATTATTAAATTATCTTTACAGTAAATAATTCATAAAAATTATAGAAAATATTGGAATGACATGAAATGCATTTTGATTGGGAAAGTGGACACCTGACAAATTTTCCATCACAATTAATTCGTGGAAAAGTTCAATTAAAAAGAACTAAGCAACGAAATTCAGTGCAAATTGTGATAATTACTGACCCCTTACTGTTACACATTTGCATGCGAAATAAACCACTAATTCTATGCAATTATGCTGCATACGCTTAGCAAATATTTTGCTGATGAAATTTTTCCGGGATCAAGAAGTTAAACATCGGTTTTGTTTCGAGTGGAAACGCATGCAAAAGAATTGCTCGAATAATGTATGTATCGACATGACGCGTTAAAAAAGGCTTTCGATACGCTCTGATTTCCAATTCCCATTCAATAGTGAACTAAAAATTATTAGTTGCAGTTAAATGGACACAGGAAGCGTAGAAGCCATAAAGAACTTCCACATTTCTATGAGTTCACGAGAACCGAGGCGCAATGCAAACTAAATTATTGCCAAAACTTTTCACTCACACGTAGGGGTTGAAAAATTTGAAACACTCGAGAAAGTCTTTTCTGTATTTATAACATTCGATCGATTGCCCGAAATAAATTAATTATTGGCATGAACAAATCGAAATCATTAATCAAATTGGCAAGATGATGTCTTTATTTAGATACGTTGGAACAACATTTTCATTCATTTAAACAAGTCTAGGCTTCTGTGATTAAGTTTCACTGTTATCCATAAATGCATAAATTTTAGAGCAATCAATCATGATGATTGTTGGCAGCTTTGAATGACTTTCTCATCATCTTCCTACACACACAATTGATCTGAAACTTCTACTAAATAACATAATTGCTGAATTTGATTTTGTGGTGCTATTGAACGAATTTCTCTTATTTATTGAATGTGCTTGTGCTGTCATAATTTTCTAACAAAGTAATTAATTTAGTGAACAAAATTATCTATAGATAATCAGTTAGATTGCAAAACGGCTTCATTTGACCGATGCAAATTTCGTTTCGATTTGCATGAATAAAATTCAATGATTTTATTTTTCTTTTTGTCAATTTCGATGTTTTTCAATTTGAGAACATTGAATTTTTGACCTTCTCTTGTACGTTGGGCTTGTTAGCTTCTCCTTAGGGATGACTAACCAAATAAATCCAAACAAAAGCACAGAAAAATTAATCTGAAGTTTTTAAAAGTCATCGGAGAAGGTTGACAGGTCAACAAGATGGGGACGATGTTGCTGTGTTTGTCTATAAAGAAGGGTCTAACTTTACTCTACTTCTCTCTTATTCTTCTTCTCCTTCTCTGACCATCTGTCATGTTTGCTATGCTTCTATTGCTTACACTATGAGTTTTGAATTCTTTTACAACCTTGAGTTTAAAATGCAGTTTGATGCACTTTCAAACACGTGCAAAATTCTTCTGAAAGCCTTCATCTTACCCCTAACCAAGAATCCTCGGTCAGAATGTCTTGCAATCCTTAAACGTTACAACTTTTACAACAACCCATCAGACACATTTTTGAGGACAAGTCGGAGAAATATTTTCTTTAATTATCGTTAGCAATAAATTTTAGAATTTTCGGGTTTTAATTCTAGACTCAAGCTTCCATAAAATAATTAATTAAATTCCTATTTTTACTGCTTCTGAGTTTATTGGTCAATAAAGACTTCCTCTGAAGTGACATGTTTTCACTGAAATTAGTTGCAAATCCCGTAAAAGGACACAAAGTAATAAAATTCTTGAAAAATAAAAGAAATTCTTCTCTGGTATTATTGTGTTAAGACGACTAATGGCAGCCTTTAATGAGCTGAAGCTAAGCAATTTAATCTAATTTAAAGCCATTACTGCTTCCTGTTCAACTAAGGATAATGGTCAAATAGAAAGAAAAGTCAACGGTCACACTTCGTTGTCTCTAATCATCATCTCATCATTTATTTAACGACGCGATTTAATGTCTCCATTAGAGTTAGTTCGCCAACGAAAAACATTGAACAAAAAATTATGTCACGATAAAAAACTGCATTCATATTTGGTGATATTAACTTCGTCTAATTGAAATCATTATATCGCAATTGTGGGCCATTAAAAATGCATTTCTAACAGAAAAATGATTAATATAAAGCATGTCAGATGATCCTAAACAATAAATGTTCATATCCTTAATGTCTGTTGCTGGATAGCAAAATGTTATTTGATACTTCAACATTTTAGAGAGTTGGAGACAAGCAGAAAATCCTTGCAATGCTTGCAACCGAAGAAATATTGCGTTAAAATCTAACTTAAGTGCACTCGTATATCTTAATTATCTTAAATCTCTTTTTTAACTCATAAATCTAATAAATACATAGCAATTGTCCATATAAATGATTGTCTTCATCGTTAATACTTATTGATTTATCTACGGACATTTAACCTTTCTCTCTATTAAGTCAGTATTTGGTTACATTACGAAGAAACCCTTTTTTTCATCACCAAAAATATTTTTCGTTTAACAAAGTTAATTTTCCAAAAAACTGTCAAAATAGAACTCAACAAATGCTGCTTTTTTTTCTGGTGAAATTTGACATAAAAACCCAAGGGAGTTTCCCTAATTTTCTGTAAAAAAATCTATTGTAAGGTAAGAATAAAAGTTGTAAAAATTATTTCACAACGGCACAGCTGATTGGAATCCCATTTTGTGACTTTCGGCGAGAGATGTCGATAAAATTGTCATAAAATTTTCTTATTAGACTTTACTACTTCATGCGTAATAAACAATCGTCATAAAATCCGAAAAGTTTAATGAAAATTTTCCAGAACTTACCATTTGCCTTTCGGCACAAAAATTTGCATCTCCCGTAAAGAAAATAAAAAAAAAAGTTGTTTGACATGACGAAACATTGAAGTTTATGGTCGAGAACTAATTTGAAAACAATATCACTTTTTTGTCGATTCCGTAATCATGATGTTAAAAAATAAAACAGGGGCAAGTGCTATGCACACATCAATCAGTAGCGGAAAATCATCTGATTAAACATATGGATGAATTTTATTTTGAATATTGAAACACGTCAAACCCGACGATCAAATGATTTGAATTCGATACGATTTAATTAATAATTCAGATCGCAGCCGAAAAAATCGGGAATTTATTGACCAATTTTAACATCTCATTTTCATTTTCATTTGCCGATTTAACAAGAAAATGATTCTTGTAACATAATCTCGTGAAATATTTATGCAGCAAGCGAAAATGAATAACAATTATCGTAAAATTTTATGACAATGGAAAAAAAAAGCAAAGATTTTTATCATCGATGACTTGTTACGTAGCATTATAATAATTCTTCCTTCTTCCAAGAGTCTTCAAATTTCATCTCTATCAAGCACTTGAACGATACACAAGGATGAATGAAAGGAAAAAGACACCGGAAATGGATGAAAAATTCTCCGCTTTGGATTTTATCGTTTGGAAAATAAAATTATTCATCACTTAGAATGAATTCCACATTTTCCATCATCATCAAGTTTATTGCAAGTTATGAAGATGATAAAACGACTTTGAGTATATCCTGGCTGGCATCAATCGTCGATGTTGTCGACATCATTTACTTAGAATGAATCTATTTGTGACTGATTGTAATGACCCAACATTTATAATCACCCCAAACAGAAAAAAAACTCATTTTTACCGCATCCACTTCGATTTGATTCACATTTCTTTTCCAAACCAATTTCATTCATAAAAACTTGTATATAATTTTTATTTTTGGTAATACAACATCCTTTATATAATTACATCCGGTCAAATAAATTCGAATGAAAAATTGCCCTTTGAAAAAGAAGTGAAAGGAGAGACAAAATTGAAAAGGACTTTAACATGCTAAACAATGTAATTATGGTGTTCAGGGTGCTTTCTTTCTATTCAAAGTACTTATAGGAATGAATTTATAAGTAGAGTGTCGAACAAAAGACGTGTCAGGGTAAATTCAAGGCTTAAATAAGTCCGAGAAGACAAGAGAGGGATAAGAAGCAATATTTTATCGTTGCTTGAAAGCATAAGTTCAAATATTTACCTCGAAAAACACTTCGTGTGTATACACAAACCAAGTTGTAAGCAAATCCAATAAGAAAACAACAAGCAGCATAGTAAGGCAGTTGTAAAACTATAAAGCAAATAATTCTTCTTATCTTATCTTGTAAGATTTAAATATCGCAGTGATGATAAGAAGGAGGAAAGATTAGAAGTGTTTTCTCCATTTCTTTAATTTATTAACTTTATTCGTTCGAACGGTCGCCATTGAGTCTCAATTTAAAATTTATTTATATTCGTTCCAAACACATAACTTTTATGTTCTTTGTAAAATGAAATAAATCCTTAAAAAATAAGTTGTGAAAGGGAACAGAAAATCAGGTTCATGGTCCATTAAGAATGTTTTCTCGAATGAAGCGTCTACTCAACTGACTACCCTTAAATCAAGGATTAGTGTTGATTATTATTTGGAACAAAATGTCACTTCGACTTCATGCTTCTTTTAATTTTAGGCTAAAAGTTACGTCGTCCTTTCTTTGTGTCTTTTTCTTCTGTCACAATCTCCTTCGACCCATAAACACGAAGGACAAAAGATTTAAAAAGTATTAAATTTCAACAAGAACTTTCAATAAGAACATTCAACAAGCAAAACTTGCTTTTCTTTGCTTGTATTTATTAATATTTGTTTAATGTTAACCACTCTGGTCTGTGAGAGTGACGAGTGGATGGTCGTAACGTAATATCAAGTGGAGGGGATTGTGATTGCATACAATGCATGTGTTTGCTGCATTAGTGTTTGTCGATACGAAAACAGAAGAAAGAATAAAGTTAAACGAATATAGAAACGACGCTGCGTAGCGTCATTTGAATCAGTTTCATTCTAGATCTCATTTGAGTTAGACGCAGTTTCGTGAACTCTTGAAAATAATTTAATAAAAAATCTCGAAGTGATTTTTTCAAAAAAATCTAAAAATTAGAAAATAAAATTGTGAAATAAAAAAAAGAAATTTTATTGAAAAGTGAAAAAAAATCAAAATATAAAAGACAATGGCAGTACCGTTTTATATTCCCGATGAGGATGAATCAAATACAATAACAAATAGAAATGGAGATGTGTCAGCTCCTTCATCGTCACAAAACTCGCCAACAAATTCTCCAACACGGCCGATTCCAATTCCATTGCGTAATAATAATTCGCAATCGCCACAACAGTCACCAATTGATAACGAAGTTCTCGTGCAAGCATTTTATGAAGCTCTTTGCCGATGTTCGCAAGGTAAAAGAAATAACATAAAAATAATTTTTGTGATGACATGTTGTGACTTGAAAAATAAATTAAATACACATGACGCTTTCACATCATAAAGCGAAAATTAATGTTTTTAAAGCAGCAAGAGTTTTCATAAATATTTAAAATCAACACAAAAATATGAAGCGATATTTGCATTTAAAAATATTTATTTTTCAAAAAAAATAATTAACCGCATTGCTTGTTGATGTGAAACATGCAATTTTATTTTTTGACACGATTTTAATCGAAATATTTTTTTTTCTTGTGCCTTTTTTAACTATAGGATCACCAATGAGTCCACAAATGTCGATGCCATCAAGTCCAATGAATCACGGACAATTCTTCTTTCCACTCCACATGATGCCTTCACCATCAACTTCAGCTTTCTCGTCACCTCGTCATAGCTTCAGAGTACCACGTCGACGATTGAATTCACATGGAAGCTACACACAAGACAGTGACGATGCTGGAGACGAAGATGAAATTCAACAAGATTTGATTGATTGGGAGAATCATTACCAGCATCGCGAACAATTGCAAGAGTTCACAGGACGAGTGCCACAACCGAAAAAGAAGAAATCAAAAAGTGAAGAAAGCAACAGTAAGAAATCTAACGAAAAGCCAAAAAACGACAAAAGCAAAATCACCAACTTCGTCATCAGTGCCTTGCAATATGTCATCGATAGTCTAAGATAAACAAAACAAGAAAAAAATATAATTTAGCTCTATAAGCATCATTGTGAACAAATATAATTCAAAAACTTTCATTTGATCTCGAGTATCGTAAAGTTTTAAGATCTCAACAGTAAAAGAAATCTTCATAAGCATTAATGTGATAAATTTTTTATTAGATTAGGAAATCATAGCAAAAATTCTCGATATATTCGAGGATTTAAAATTAAAATAAAAATTTATTGACATAAAAGATGATTCTACTTTTTTTTATCAAATAATTTTGTTTTCAGAATGAATTGAGTGATTTTTCATAAAGCAACGGGAAAAGTTTGATTATGGTAAATTTTCCATTTACAGAAATCTCATGAGAGAATCTAAAATGCAGACTCGTATATCACATCCGACAATTTGTAAATCCCTGTAACATTAAATTAGCTTTTCATGATATATTTGACTAGCATGATAGCTCGTCAGAAAGTCAATGAATTCATTCAATTTAATCACAAAGTTATCTCGAATATTTATGTATAGACAAATATAATCATTTATCCGATTCCAACTTAGACTTTTTGCATTATAGTCCTAGAAAAAGGTAATTTGAATTTAGATCATACAATTCAAAAAGCCATTAGTTGCCTTCTCCCCAAAATTACATTTCTCGGATTCACTCAATTAAAATTGTTGAATTTTGAGGAAAAGTCAAACAAAATATTTCACGTTGATGTTCACCGTTTAATTGGTTACAAAACTCAACATCATCCTCCCCCACAATTTCAAAATATTGCACAAATTAATTTTGATGTGCACCATAACAAAACTCGGATGGATTGAAAGGATGAGTAATTGACTTTACAAATGTTAAACACAAAACACTCTCATCATTGAGAACGGAGTATTGAATGCGAAGAATTTTTAGGCATTATTGAAAAACTATTACATTACATAAGTGCACTCGATGCACTGTATGAGCACATTTGCATTGTGTAATGAAATTTTAGAGCATCCTATTAATGTCTCATCTTACTTCATTGAAATGGGTGATGCTTGGGGAGAGTTTAAAGTTCAATGCACTCGAAAATCCCTTTCTCATGACACCATCACAATTTTGTTTATACAAGCCATTAAATATCAACTGAACGAACTAGTCAAGCTTCAAGCACTCTTTCGTTCATAACAATTGATTTTGAGGATTAGGATTTTAGTTGTTTTTAGATTTATTCGTAAATAAAAGAAGTAAAAAAATGTTAGAAAGGAACATAAAACTATGAAGAACACACAAAACTGTCAATCCCAATCACATATAAAATGCATTTCTGATTTACAGACTCATAAATAAACATGTTACAAGCATCAAATGTATTTTATTTAACCTTTTTACATCATTAACTCAACCGCAATTCAATTTCGTTTACCAAAAACCCTTTTTTTTACCCAAAAATTTAGTTTCCCTCAAAACTGACTTTTTATGATGCAGACGCTGTGCTGACAAAACAAAGCCAAAAATCCATGCAAACGATCATAAATTTATCTGCAAAATATGCTTTCGAGAGTAAATAATCCGTGACACGGCTTGTTCCGGGTCGAGCTTTATTTATTTGAAAGGTCATAAGTTTGTCAATTATCGTTTCACTTTGAATTTGGGAAGTAAAAGAAAAATATTTCCACATTTTTTCCTAAAATATTTTTATATTCTCACTAAACCAGAATATAAAAAACATTCCGTTGAATTACCTTTATCTTCAATCGTAAAAAATAATTTCGAAATGTCCTTTTGATGATCATGAATTCAATACGCACATCTAATTTACAATAAAAAAGGTTACAAAGATAAGCGCAATATGCGTTTTTTATTGTCGAAGCATAAACGCAAAAAAGGACTGACTGCCTGCTTACAGTTTATCTAACAATGAAACATCAATAAAACATTAAAATTATCGCTCCCCTTAGACAAACGGTTAACCGATGGTCAGTGATTCTGAGAAGCATTAAAAAGAATTCAATTCCTTCCCAGGCATTCATTAAGTTTTATAGAGTTTAATGTCGATGATAACGCAGTAGATTTGAACTCATTTCTCGTCTTTATTCGTCCCTCGTGATCAAATAAAACTACCTAAACACATACAGTTTAAATGTTTATTTTAATTGCATTTTTGCTTCTTCACTTTCTAATTTTCCACGAATTAGAGTGAACAGGTTAACACCCGAAAAATAAAAATAAAAAAATTAACATAATTCACAAATGATGTAGCGTCAGTGACCTCTTATCATGACTCACCACTAATTCTCATTAATTACCATTTATATGGAAATACCCCCGAATAAGGATGAATTACTTTCATCATGCATGTCTTCAAACGGATAAAAGTTTGTACAATTTCATTTCATGACATTCGATTTCTACTTTTTTATTTAAGTCTCTCATCCCCTGTTTTTTTATATATTTTTTTTATTTTTATATTTTCAACCGAACATCTGTTGCCGTTTCTCATAAACATTTCTTACGCTTTCCCTTCGACAAGACCTTCGCTTCGTGTTGTTATGTTCATTGCACTAAAAGCGTCGACGACGATGCACAAATCGTCATAAAACACGTGCATTTGTGAGGTACAAACCTTCATTATCCGTTGCTGTTTACCTGAATATTAAACCCTCGAGTCGATGCAAAAAGTAAATTTGCGAATTTTTCTAGCTTATTTATTTACCTCGAGGGTGCATCAACCGTAAGTAAGAGAAATTACTGAAAAAACGAAATCCTTAATTTCTAAATCGGATCAAAACTATAAAAAAAACGAAAATCCTTGCACCGTCATAAAAATGAGATTAACTAACAGTAGTGAGTTCTTTCCATCCACCTGACACTCAACAAAAGCAAAGTGAAATGAGCGAAAGCATCAAACTTATTAAGTTTTTGACCTTACCATGAATCAAAACAACGAAATCATCACATAAAAGATTTTCATCAATTACAGGATTTCTTTCATCTCATTTCAACCCCACAGCTTGGGCATTTAACAAGTGTTTTCATTCCACATGAGCTTTTACCATGACAGCGCAATCCTGATTAAAAAATTTTTGTTTAAACTATTTAAACCCCAGATATCATAAAGAGAAACAATTTTAGTGAAAATTGTGCTCGGTCAGCGATCTGTAAATAAGTTAAATTGACTTTCATAATCTGACTAAATGATATTGTGCACACTGACTGCAGATCCGATGAAGATGAATAATAAAAAATGTTAAACACACATATTTGCGTATTTTTGTGTAGGAAATCAAACTTAACAACTGAACCCTGTTTTTGTGTTTTGAATGATTTGCTGCTTATCGTAATTTAAATAATTAAGAACGTAATGCTTTTATTTGATTTCTTCGATCGCATCCCTTTTCCAAGCCCTCGCTTTAAAATCGAAATGAATTTTAATGTGATACATTAAAAAATATAATTCATCGTAACAAGTTCAATGATTGCATCAATTACTCGATTACGAATATTTTTTTTATATTTTGAAGTCATATGTTAGAGATGGAAATCACATAAAGTAAAGAGTCAAACAGTATCTGTTCACAAATTACATAATATTGTTCAATCAATTGAATTTTATTGGCTTAATTTTTAGCTTTAAAGCAAACTGCAAATATTGTGTTGCGAAGTATTTTGCAATGTCTGCTTACAGTGAGTGAAGAAAAATAACAAAAATATCCAACAACAAGTTTGCTTACTCGCTTCAAAATGAAGAAAATAAAACGTCGTGGAATTGCCTTCTCATTTGTGCATAAATAAAGATATTTGAAGTCGAGGGAAGTCAAGTCACAGCGCAAATAGTTATTTAAAGAGCATATTTCTCAAACTTAATTTACATATATTTTTTCTTAATTTATTTATTTGTTTGACTTGATAACTGCGCATTTTCATCTCCTCGAAGCGTCTTATGCCTCAATGGTGTTGCACAGATCACCTTAAGTTGCAAAGCTGATGATATGTCTTTTTATTCAATAGAACAGCACACATCGTGTAATTATCCTCGACAGCAACAGCCATTGTGACGATAGACTTAGAGAATGGCTAAAAAATTGCATAAAAAATGATAATGAAACTTAATTGGAAGTAATGTTTACCAATACATTTTAAAAGTTTTCTCACGAAACACCAGGCAACGAGCCTTTATCTGGTGTCTCTTTAAACATTAGCGTAGTCAATTTATGTGGCGTGTAATAAACGTTCTATGAATAATAAATTAATCTTCATAATAATTGATTACCGTGATAATTTAATGACAGAAAAGTTCTATAAGTGAAAAAATCATTCGATTCACGTTCATGTTCACTAAAATCTTTAATTGAAAATTCTATAACGATTCATGATTCCATCATACAATGCCAAGTCGTTGAGACTTTACCTTTGATTTCATAATGAGGATTAACAAACAATTCATTTCCATTAGAATATGTATGATGAACTTCAATATTTAAGCCACTGCCTTCATGCTAAGTATGTGCATGTTTATTATACAATAAAGAAGCTCAAATGACTTTGAGCAATTCTAGACAGAATCTCATAAGGAATATCATCATAAGCTGTTTAAGATTCTGAAAGAAGTTTCATTGTTTAAAGCAAAAAGGGAGAAGATGAAGAAGAACAGCGAAAAAAGGAGGAAAAGAGAGAGGGAAACCAATTTGCATAATTAAAACAGCGTAATTATTCGTTTTCTTTTCATATTTTATAATAACTCAGTTGAAGTCGTTTAAAATGTGTTTTTTTTCTTCTTCTTGCAAGTTTTGGTTCCATACAGCCACGTTATGCCGTAAGTTGCAAATCAACAAGCCATCATAAGCCGTTGTCGACTTCGCGCAATTCCAAAACAATTAACTACAAAATATTAATCTCCCTCGTCATGAAAATGTAGTTAAGTCTTAAAACTTGTTTTCAATACACTCGCTCGCTCTATGAGACATAAGTAAGAATATGAAAGAAAAAAAAAAAGAATCAAGAACACGACAAAAAATATATAATCTTTGAGTTGAACCTTAATGCATCAATATACAATTTGTTTGAATGCTGAATTAACTTCAAAATAAATCAACTTTTCCTTCTTCTTTTACATATTCTTACAGTCAGCTCCCGTAGAGATTTTGTGGGACAATTTACTGAGAGTCTTATTTGCGCCCTGCCTTCGAACATCGGTTGTTTATCCGATTTATTATTATGATAATGATTTCGATGTTGTTTTCTTTTTCTCTTTTCTCAATATTGAAGAAGGTATAACTGCAGCTCTGTTCCATTCTTCTTCTTATTGTTGTTACTCTCAAGCGTAGTATTTTTTTTTTCGAAACGTAAAGATTTACGTTAAAGGGACACTGATATAAGAAGCTGAATAATAATATACTTTTCACTGTTCTCTTTCTCTTACTAAAAATATAAATAATAAAAAAAATACGAACCGAATAAGAAGAAAAGGCAACTCAAAAATATATTATTTATTTTTTCTTCTTGTTTTTGTTCTTCATGATTTTTTTTTTATTATGTATTTCAAACACAAGTGTCCAAGTCTCGATTTCATCCGTCGAGAACACGCAACAAACGAGACAATTATCTTCTTATTCGTTCCTTTTCATTTCTCTTATTTTTATATTTTCTGATTCGATTTCTGCCATGCGATGGAAAGAGAGAAAACAATAACAAAGCCTAAAAGCAGTTCATTGCCTTCTTAATAAAGTCTATTAAAAAATCACAACGTATTTTTTCCTCTGTTGCTTTATCTCTCATTCTGTTGCACACTTGAAAGTGGTTTGTCATTAAATATTGTCACAAGTACGTTGAAAAGTGTATGTTGATAGAGATTATTTAGCATAAATTATCAAAACATTATCATTGAGTTGATTTTGTGCCCTGACTAACGATTTGTCCCGCCTACAAATTTCTTATTGATGATCGTATGGTTGCATCTTATATAATCTCGACACGAATATCAATTATATGAAACGCAAAAGAAAATGGATAAGAAAAAGGAACGAGATAAACTCTGAAGAGAGCTTCTACACAGTGCTAAACTTAAGAAACATAAAATATTTTAATCGCTTATTGATACATTATTTTGACAATGATTTTTATGTTGAACAAGGGCCAGTGTTGAACTTTACGATCGTAAATTTATTGGACTGTCACGAAAAGCCTAATAAATTGTTCATCATGCTGAAAAGTTATTATCGTTTTAAAGCGGAAAGTGAGGAAGAATAAATTCAAGTAAAACGATAAGTTATCAAAGTTCTTGAGAGGCTTGACTTAAATACAAGTTTAATGATAATTTGACTGTCAGACAGACATCGGACAAAATAATTTCTTCTTAGACCTTAATCAAGCCTTAAAAAACGAACAACTCATTCTTCAAATTGAAAAGTGCATTGTAATAAGAGATCTTTAAGACTTAAATACCCAAAAAAAAATTAAGAGATACCTGTTAGCGATGCTTTCATATAAAAATCATTGACATGTATAGACTTGTTAAAGCAAAAAAAAAGAAAGAAAAGATTGAAGGAAAGTCTGTAAACAGACCAATGTAGCTTCTAAAAATATATCAAGAAATGAAAAACTTTTTTTCTTCTTCCATCACTGTTGTGTTTACATGATTTTGCTTCTTTTTGGATACGTTGAAAACAAATGATGAAGGAAATATGAAGAACAAGACAAATCAAAAAATGAAAATAATCTCTTCTTTCTTACAACTTGTGGTAGCAAAAAAATAAATCTAGGTCTCTGAACAAAACGAAATCTTTTCATTTCTTTCAAATTTTAACGACTTGGAGAATATTGTGTCCAAGAAAGGGCAATAAATTTACAATCGCTCGTAAACTAGGAACAGAAGAATATTTTAAAAAATCTATTTATCTCTCGAATTTAAACCAAAAAATATATTTTTCTTCGTTCGTGATGTTTGCTTTGTAAAATATGACTTTAAGATTTTGAAAGGAGAAAGAGAAAAAGATTTTTTGTTTGTGTTTAATAGACAATTATCATCACTCAAGAGCACAAACCCTTTGCAGCTTATCGTAAATTTGAGTATTTTGACACATTTATTTTTTCGTCAACTTGATGCTTTTGCATTTATTTCTATGCTCGTCACTTTAAACTATAAACTGCGCAAAATATAAAAAAAATATTCTCGTGTTACATGACATGTTTATTTAAACAAGTGTGTGCACACTGATGGAAAGAGAAGTGCAAAATAGTGACGATTTGAATATTGTTTATACAAATATTAAACATTAATCAAGAGATGTTACGATAAAGTTATGACATGTAATTAAATAAAAGTTTTTTTTTATGATTTATCACTTCATAAAATGTTATTTATTTTTCTATCAGTTCTTTTGATTCTTATTCGTGTCTTCAGTCCTTGAACTATCGTCTTCGTATCGAATGCAAGGCGTGCATCGAAAATGATTATTCGTAACGTTTATGAAGAAAAGCTCATGTCATAAGTGTTCCAAACGTCATCAACACGAAATCTGATGCTATACAGATGTTTAGTGCTATCTAATCTCTTTCTCAAGTTCGCTTTCTGGTTTTTGTTTGATATCTTTAAAGACAACAAACTCCAGGTTCAAGTTATATGAGTGTTGTTGTAGTGAACATCATTTAACGAATATTAGAATAATGATAAGAGAAATGACTTGGCATGTGTAGCAGACTTCTTTCTGACTTCATCTAGCCACTTGACTTTCTTTATTCAAATACACTGTTCAGTAAATTTGACTATTTACAGCATGTGTTTCTGTTGTAAGCCTGTTTATTATATAACTTCTTTCTTTTTTTTTTGAAATATCATTGTTTATCATGATCAAATTGATTATTATTTATTTCTCTACTTTCTCTCCTCAACTTTTTTTTAGCAATTTAAAAATCACTTATCGATGCTTCTGTGTTGTTTCTCATCTAAACATGGAAAATCTATTTTGTTATAGGTCATTAACTAGTCAAGCACCTAATATAAATCTCAACAAAAAAGAGCACAAACAAAGCCTCAACCCTTAAAGTAATTTTTAAACTCCACAAATATTCTTTTTGTTTTTTGTAGTTTTATAAAAAAAAGTCTGACATAAAAAGCAGTTACGATATCTCTGTGGAAATTTAATCATGACGATAAAAAATTTCAATCGACCCCTGACTGTTTTTTTTAGATAACTGATGTGACAGTGTCTAGTTACACTAACTAAATTTATTTTTAACGCAAATGATCCTTGAAGAATTCTCCTGACAAAGCTGTTAATGAGCGCTGACTTTTCTGCGGTCAATGGCATTATTAGAAACGGGCTTTAAAATTATTTTGTTGTCGCTCTACGGAAATTCTTGTGATTCATCGCAATGTGTAAGGGAAAAGGAAATTTGATAAAGTGAAAACGTTCAGCTGCAAAACCAAAAAAAGGAGCTGAAAAATGATGATGAATGTGAATGAAAACAAAGACTTTACCCTCGAAAGCATTGTGCAGTTTTTGTTTTGTGTTTTACAAGTGTCGTTTTAAGCTATCACGAATTTGATGATTTAAAAATTGTTTCAACAGATTTTTCCGCTTCAAACAATTAGATATCATCAGGCGGAAGAATGAAAAGTGTAAATAGACAGAAATTGATTTTTAATAAACGGGGTGTTAATGTCTCATCCAATCTTCAATCAAGCATGTCAGTTAGAAGTGCAACGAGTGAAAGAACTCCGCTCCCTCGACCAACATTTATCACTTTTAAAGTAGCACATTTGTACAATTCTACGCGAAAGCATTTAGTAATGGTTGACATCATCCTTTCCTCAAATGAAACTATTTATATTAATAATTTCCAATACATTTAATCTTCATAATGCCCATTTGAAGAGTTGACCGAAAGAGTTAAGTTCACTTAGAAGAAACGATGTCCAGTGTTTTTCAGAATATGCGTAATAAATTTTCATTACACATCATTTTAATCGAAATATTATGCAAAATAAATTTTTATGAAGTTTATTTTTGTCTTTCGTTCTTATTCATGCATGAGACAGAAGATTCACACTCTAACGACACCCATTTCTATGCAAAGTGTTTCTCATTTCTCTCTAGCATTATAATCCACTCAAAAACACAACATATCATCGTATTATGAACGCCATAATAATAATGCTTTTTTTTTTCTAGTATTAAACAAGACTCGAATGAATTATCTGACTCGCGTCGTCCCAACTGGTTATATCCAATGATGGTGATGGTGCTTACTTGTATTTAAATCTACAACGGGACTCTTTCCAAAATAAGATGGAATAAAAAAACATTAAAAAAAGAAACAAACCAAAACCTGGTGTTCGTGAGTTATTGATAAATACATTAATTATGGTCAGTTCGTATTAAAGCTTTCTGATCACGATTCTATCGCAACGGGCGCTTGGTGTGTTTCGTATAATTTTTTGAGCGCGAAAGATTCGATACGGAGTTTATTATTGTTACGGTTCATCCCGTAACGTCCAAAGTTGAAGGAGAGAAGCTGCGCACGAAAAAGACAAGAAGTTGAAACACGATAAATTGAATTGCCTCTTTCCTCCCATCTTCAACGTTGTCTTTCAGCCACAAGAAAAGAGTTGGACGAGAATGAAAAAAAAGAGCAAAAACAACAACGACAAGAGAAGTAAAACCTGTTATATGGACACGTGCGTCTTGACTGGCTTTTGATCGTTTATTTAACAATCATGATTTTAATGCATTAAAGTTCAAGTTTCTTGTTTCTTTTTTGTTCTTTTCGTAAGTTAAAATTTACATTTAAAGAGGTTCGCATTTCGATTTGTTTCGTTACTGGGCTTTACAATCGATTTTCATCGATCGATGGTGCAATTATATCTTAACTTCTGTCAATGTCGCGTCTTAATCACAATACTTTTTCTCTATCCTCTTTCTTTTTATTTATGTTCTTCCATTTGCTAGATTAATAAACAAGAGAATCTCAACAAGTACTTTTGCAATTGCAAAATTGAAACAAATTAATAAATATGAAAATAAAAAATAAACTTGCATGGTTGAGCGATCAGCTTCGCGGGAAATGCACTCGTTTAATATTATTTTTCCCAAGTATCGTCTCAGTCTCATAAAACAATTATTTCTCAAGACATTGCACGCTTAATCAACAAATGATTCTACATAATTATTCTGCTGCTACTGCTTGTTAAGATCAACATGAATATCTTTTTACTATACTTTGGTTACTATACTTGTAATTAAACTACAATCTTATGCATTTACTGTAGAAACATTATGACTCAATGACATTTTTTATTGCAGTAATTGTGCTAACTGCTTTATCTTCTGCACCTCAAAGAGTTTACGAGAATTGCGATTAAATTACGATGTTAAGCATTTTATTATTAAAAACTATTCTTTGTGCGAGTTAAACTCTTTCAAACCAATAAGATTTTTATAGATGAAGCCAATGAAGAGTCTAAATCACTTACAAAAGATTTCACATCACATTACGCTGTAGTTTGTTGTGATACTTATTTATTTTTAGATCTTATAGTTCATTGACTTATCCGATAAAATCCCAGTTCAATGCCTAAGCAAAGAGTAAAATAATAATAATGACAGTCATATTTACCATAAAAAAACTTAAGACCAAAATCAAACAATTGAATTGAAGTAAATAATCATTATATATCAGAGACTTTTAAAACTATCATAAAAACTCATCTTTAAATCCTGTTTTAAAATAATCAAATTAATGTGTGGAGATGTGGACGAAAAAAAAAATCAAACAAAGTTTATGATAATTTTTTATTTCTTTCTTTTTTTGAGGATTTTGTGTAACGCGGTAGCTACCGAATTCGTTCTGGAAGATCTTCGCTCTCTGCTTCACATCATCTTCTTAGCGACATCACGTTAAGGAAGAAAGGAGAACAAAGGAGACGTAAAACAAAATATAATCGAGACGTCGAGTCTTAATTCGATGTTTCAAGAAATCAGAGAAACTTCAATTTTACTGACTGTTTATTATTCCAATTATACCAAAGCAAGAAAAGAACGAAAAGAAAGAAATCTTAGCCCGTCAAAAACTACTTCTATTACACGCTCGAATGAGTCTCAATAATCCGTTAAAAGATAAATTTGTTAATTCTTCATTTTGATGCTTTTCAAAAGCTTTTTCATTCGGGATAAAAGATAATTAAAAAAATAATAAGAATTAGAATTGAAATTAAATGAAGACAGAGCGAGGATGAGTTTGATTCAATTTGGATAAACTCTTTTTGGACTGCATAGATACGTTTAATGCTTACGATAAGTTTGGAAGTTTACGATGCAAAACTTCCTTCTTATTCAAATTAAATTCATGTTGAAACCACGCATAAAACAAATGAAGCGAAAAAAGAAAACTAAAATCTTATCTCACGAAATTTATCAAATCTTGAGTGAACACATAAAGTTTTCTTCTCGATATTTTTCGACACACATAACCGTCTCGTTTAATTTCTTGACGTATTTAATTTAACAAGTGTCTGCCTGCGAGAACGAAGCATGAGGAAAAAGAGAATGAAAGAAACCTCGATGCTATTATATTGAACACCTGTGGCTTCATCCAGAGCGAGTGAGATAAAAAAATGGTGAAAATAAAGAAGAGAAAGAAAAAAAAATAAAACATAAAAATGGACAAACAAAAATCGACCGTAAAAAATCTACACAAAAACCCGAATGAATCACTGTAGATACGTTACTAATGCGCAATTGCCTTAAACCCAATTTTCTCGAGCAAGCAAAAGGAACACAAATTAATGGATTTGTGATGTTTATTAGTATTTAAAGAAAACAGAACAGACAGAGAAGGTGGAGAGATAAGGAAGAGTAAAGATACCCTCGAAAAAATATCATCTATTAAAACGATATTCTATTCCGAAAGACTACTTGAAAGGTCAGTCTCAGTCATTCTGTCTACAAGAAGCACAAACCATCATAAAAGAAATCTTCTTCCATAATATTTTCCCTTTTCCCTTCTTCATATTCTTTTCTGCACAACACTTTGAGATTTGTTTGAGATAGTTTGATAGAGTTGGAGCAATTTAGGGTTTCTTGTTGCATCCTTTTTATCGTTTCTTGTTCGTTGCTTGATTACCGTAAAATTGACGTTATGAAACAGGTACCTTCAACGGTCGACACGTCTTAACACGATTTCCTTTTGACTTTTGTTATCTTCCTTTTTTTAAGGTTTCTTTGTTTTGTATACAAACTTTTTCAATCTCTTTTACTTTCGCTATCTTCATTTTGACTAGATAATTAGAGTGAATCCGTTTTTAAGCATGATCGAGCAGAACAATGACGACTAGGGTGGCTGTCGACACGACCATGCAAATGCAATTCTTTTTCAAGGCTCTTCCTTTTTGCAAATTTCTTTCTTTCTTGAATATTTTTCTTGTTTATGGTCTCAGTGGAGATAACGACTAATTTATAGGTTTCTTTTCAAAATATGGTTTCACATTATGTGATAGTTTAATCTAAAATGCATAAAAAACTTTTTTGTGACTTTTTTCTCTCACACGATGCGACAAATAGAAAAAAAGGAAAAATTTATTTAATGTTGGCAATGTCCTGGCGCCTTTTTAAAAATATATTTTACAGCCAACATATTTATACAGACAACCAAGCAACTTATTTTTATTTGACTTTATTTTATGTCTCTTACACTTTCAACTTCCCGACTATATCAAATCGAATTAGTACATCAAGTGGAAACTTTACAGTAAATATCTGAGAGAAAATGTAATGCGAATTGAATACTGGAACAAAAGAAATTTCTTTGTTGTGGGGGTGACAATGCTTCTACAACCCCCAGAAGCATTAACTTTTAAAATACGAAAATACGAAAGAAATTCTCCATGAGAAATATCCATAAATTTAATTTCGCATATCATGCATATGTACACGATGTATCTACGATGTTTCTCTGATATAATTTTAAGATATTTGCTTTGCTTTCGTTTAAGAAAAACTTCTTATTTACGCCCGACGGGAAAATAAACGAAAGGAAATGTTTGTTAAATAAACCAAAAGTGACAAAGAAAATGTGAAATGGGTTGGGAAAGAAAAACTTTTCATTGAGCTTAAAATTTATTGTTTTATTATTAGCATAAATATTGGATGTTTCTTACACAAATTTTAGCTCAACTGTTCAATGCCAAAAAGTTGTGAAGAGTGAAAGAGTCAATGAAACAAAGAATATGAAATGGAAATCGATTTGAATATCTAGCTTAGAATTATTGGAGAACTTTATGAAATGTTAATTTCTGTTGACTGCCATTTAAATTTTAAACAAAAGAAAAAAGTTAAATGTAAATGAGAATTTTTCACTAATGGATGATTCTCAAAGTTTAATGCTATGTATAAAAATTATTTGCGAACAACTGAATTCACCAATTTCTATTTTATTTATTCACCGTTAACAGTATAACCGAAAAGCTATCTCAATTGTTTGACCATAGAGGTGGATGATTTTAATTAAATTGTTGACATGTACGAAATTTCCATTCTGTTCGATTCCGACAAACAACAACAGCAGCAGAATCCTTTAAAAAAACCTTGTGTCGCTGTCGAGTAACTAGAAAAATGCGAGAAGTTTGTTTGAGTCACTTCTTCAATTGCGGGGAGAAATTTACATGAGTGGAAATTATTTTCATTTACTCGTTTCTCGAATGTTACGCGGAATTTAATGGAACATTTTAAGCACAAAAGGCACATTGTTTAATTGAAATTCAAAATCATTGAGATTTTCATTTCATATGTTAATGGATAAAAAAATCTCTTGCGTCGTTGTCCCCAGGTCAGGATTTCGAATGATTAATTCAGATGCTAACGCGAAAAATATCCTAAATGCAAACTCCATGGCGGCTTCATCCATTCATTCATTCTGGGGTTGAAAGCTCAACACATTCATCACACAATTAATTAAAAACGAATTAATTAAATGTCTTGATGTTCTACAAAATGTTTTGCACAAATCATAAATCATTTGGCATTGAAATATGTTTCATGTAAAACTTTTTTTCCCTCACAGCAAGCATAATTACTGGAAAAAAATATTCATATTTAATCTATTTTCCTTAACAAAGTCAAATAGCAATAGGAAAATGATAAAATTTCATTTTTCAAGCTTTAAAAAACGTCAGCATTAGGAAAAATAGAAAAAAAAACTCATTAGCAAGTGGAAGAAACAATCAAGCGAAGTAATAAAAAATAATAACCCCCAATTAACAAAAGATTTGAAAAGCCTTACGACTTCTTTCTACTTATTTTCTCGTTGTTGAAGAGACTTAAGAACAGTGGGAAGTCTTAAAATCATCACAAATTTTAAGAATAGAAGAAAAAAGAAGAAGAAATCGTCAGTTTGACACGCTCAGATTGTTCACGACAACGTTGATGCTTCCAGCTAGCTAAATGAAAGTTAAGTCATTGAGGTGCAGCAACATTTAAACTAATTGAAGAAAATTAATTAACAATTTGTATATCTAGATTATTAACAGTTTGTATGTTTTCCAGAGCCAATAATTAGAGCGTTATTCCATCCTATTTACATATCATTATCATCATTCAAATCGGACAGAGAAAAACCTTCAAAAGTTGGAAAAGATTTTTTTAATTATTCATTAAGCAAACAACGTCCTAGATGTGTACTCAAAAAATTATGCAATATTTTTTTTACTTTTTAACTCTTTTTAAATGTTTTAAGATTTTCTGTCACCGTGCAATGCAAAGTTTCATATTTACAGAAAACTTAATGCTGCAGTAAAGCAGCAAAAAAAAGATCTGAAAAGGGTTAACATTTTTAATTGCTTCCCTCCTCAAATTGCATTAACGTCTGTTTCTTTCCTTCTTCTTGTTGCTGGTCGTATCTAATTGGATTAAAATTTACAGCATTTTTACATCGGTGAAACCTTTTTCTGGTGAAAACTCTTTCTTCCTTTCCACAACTTTTTATTTTATTTATTTAATTTTCATCCTCGGAAATAATTTCTCGAAACCATTCACTTGAAACAAGCAGAAAGAAATGTTACAAAAAAAAATAATTAATCGAGCAAATGCTTTTATCAGATTGAATTTGTTTTTAAAAAGAGAACTCGTGAACTATCAACCTGTGAAATTTAATTATAGTTTTGATCGCCACATTTGTGTTGAGTGAAAAAATGTTGGACGCTTCTAATGCTTATTTAATTAATAGCTTGAGGAAGGATATAACTTCGAAATGCGAATCAATTAGGAACTTCCTCAAACAATTCCCGTAAATTTGTTTTTAATTCAATTTGATATGATAATTAATTTTTAGTGGGTGCTTTATTAAGTTCAATGTCCAACATTTCAAATTTCAAGCATCGTTGTAGTGACATCGAAGGCGGGAACAGGAAGTTATGGTTGATTTTATTTTGATATGGTCGATCTTTCGAAGGTGTAAAGCCCTTCGAGATTATCTAACAAAACAAAAACATAATAAAATTTATTTTCTTTCATTCGCCAGGTGGTCAAATGGCTTCCCAAGGTATTTTCTCACACTTAAGATCAACATTGTCTCCCCTCAATCAACTTCAATAGAACGTCATAAAGAAATGTATCAAGCAATTATGCGTAACCATGTTCAAGTGTATTCATCAAAATATCGTTACATTATATTTATTATGTGAGAGTAGATTCAGTTTCGGTCGCCTCAAGTAGATATCTTAACAAAAGGATATTTTCTTATTATTTACTTTTTGTGTTCTGATCACAGTAACAATGAAGGTGAAGCATGGAAAGAAATTATTTAATGAACAAACTTGATAGGGTTATGATGTCGTGATGAATTTATTTATGTCTACATGCATGCATGTATCTCCAAGAAAAGCAACTGAAGAGACCACTTAATCGTTTATTTTCAAGTACGTTGAGTTTTTAGCTCTTACGAAATCTCGCTTTCCCATGTCGTTTTCAATTTAATTCTCATTGTTGGTTGGAAAATTAGAATTATTCTCCTTCATCCATTGTTCAACACCTGCTGAATTGATATTGAATTTCAAGAGTTTTTTTTTTCTTTCGAAAACTCCTTTTTTTAGACCTAGAAATCTAGGGAAGAATAAAAACGTTTGGATTAAATGTTAGGGATGTTTAACATTGAAATGTGTAAAACGACATTCAGGATTAATTTGTCAGTGAGACTCTACACGTTGTCTGGGTATGATTTGAGTGCCTTATTGTAATTGAAAGCAACATATACATCAAGTGTTCTTGTATTCGTCATAAAAAATCTTTAGAAAAATGTATCATTGCAAGACTGAAGGTAAGCTGATACATTAAATGAACTCAGTATCTTTCTCACACCCTTTCGTGATCCTTCAAGGCTTCAAGACACAATTCAAGTGCAGAGTCTACACCGAAAATATTCCTTTTGATATTGGGTTCTTGTAATTTCGACACCGCTTGAAATTGTTAAATTATTCAGACGGCTCTTCGCGTCTTTCATGATATGTAAGTACACCCAAGCAAGATTATGCTCACAATTTCGTCTCTATTTGCATTTCGGCAATGAAAAAAGGTTTTTATTTCTTCAAATGAAAAGGAAGAAAGAAATTTTCGATGCAAAAGAAAAAACCAATTTCCATTAAAAGAATATTTTTCAGATGTCATTGTTCAACCGATGAACGGAGATGAATCTTCTGAATGATGATTACTTATGCCTTAAAATGAGATTTTACAACGAGAAAAAATTGATATAGCGTCAACAATGACAAAAGGTAAACATCTTAAGGGCGAAATTCATCTCTTAGTGAATTTTATTCCTTTTTGCTGAATATTTTGTTATTCCTCCTCCTTTCATTGCATCAGTTCCAAAAAGAATTGAGAAAAATTTATCAAGCAGCACTACAAAGTTATAGATATGCCTTTATTGTGACACACAAAAAAATCTTTGTGATTTATATGTATCGCCAAGTTGTCGTCGTCGACATTGTTGAACTTCTTTAGCATAATTTCGAAATAAATTTCCCCGAGAAAAAAAAAGTGAAAAAAGATTATAAAGTATTGTTAAGCAAACATGAGCTGGAAAAAGCATAAAATAATTATGTAGTGGCAGAAAAATTAATGCGACGATGACAAAGTGGAACCAATTGGGGTGTACGAACTTTTTTTGTTTGTTTGGTTCGAATTTTGATTTATTTCCTTGTTGAAACTTAAAAAACAGAAAATCTTATCACTAGCAGGCTTTTTCTAGATTTTGTCCTTTTTTTCAAGAACAGCATGAAAAGCAACAAGCACACCCTCTCATCTGACTCTGTTGATGACTCGAGTAGAGTGTTCAAGTTGTTTAAAAAGGCAAATAATATATTCACACTCACATTTCATTTCTCGTCTTTCTATTGTACATTTTTTAAACAAAAGTAATTCGATCTGGCCTTCTTAAATGAAATTTGTTTATTTTGCGGATTAATTTTTTTTTCGTGCTTCTTTATTTTATTCATCGCAGCTTTTTTTGCTGCTGTTTGGTATGTTTATTAAAATTTTTATTTGAGGGAAATTAAGAAAAACGGAAGAAGATAGAAAATCAGTCGTCAAAAACCAACGTCGTCATTTTTTTAGGTGGATAAATTATTTTTTTTCTCCCCCATTGAAATCATGAAAAGAATTTCTTTATCGCTAAGAAGATCAGCGATTGCACAATTGAAACAAAAATTTTCCTGTTTCATCTAATCCGCGATATACAAAGTCTGATTAAATATTCTTAATTTATTTTTTTTCCTCCTTCCTATACTTTGGTCGACGATTATTTTTTAAATGGAAGAGTCATCGTCACTTTAAATAAATAAATAAATTGCCGAATGAACTTAATGAGTTCATCAAGACTTTCGTTTGTTTTTTTAAGGATTAAATTTCTCTTTTCAAAAAGTGTGCAAAAGATTCGCTTTCATTATTAAAAAGAAAATATTTATCTTTAGCGTTTCATCTCTCTTTCATAATATTATCAAGTTTGAGAAACAATGGCCAAGAAAAATGAAGTGGATTATCAAAATATTTTCTTTCTATTTATAAAGTTTCATCGACCGATAGAAGTGCAACAGACCAACAATTTTAAACCACAGAAAAACGATTTCAACTGAAAACCATGAAATTAAATATAATGAACTTACAATTCCATTAGCAATTTGCAATTGTTTGTTCACTGAAAAGTGGTTTATTGTTGCTCGTTTGTGATTTAAAATGTTAGCGTTGAGGAAGTGACATATTTTATAAAGCAAATTTATTTTCATAAGCAGTTATCTCGTGAACATAAATTTCATCCCTTTCAAAAATCATCGTGAGTGCATTTAACCCTTTTCTCGCAAGTCATTTAAGTGATTTAATAATTGTATTGTTCCACTAGATGAATTTGAGAAATTTTCATCGTCGCGACAAAGCCATCCCGTCATCACTTGTCTTGAGAATTTGAATTTCAGAATTTGAATGGGCCAGTAATTTCATCTCCTAAATATCGCTTTTAATCTTTTCAGAGATGAAAAGCGAAATAACCGTTAATGTGATTTGTGGTCTTTTTAAAAGAAACATCTCAATTTGCATAATTTAATTTGCAAAAAAATTTAAAACATAAAATTCGCCATTCTCGAAAAATGTTTGTGTGTGAAAGGGTTGAGTAAATAATTCGCATTTTAGGAAATTGGCTGTTGAGTGGTGCAGTAATTTAATTTCTGCTGCTTGATAATGCGATGCTGTTAAGAGGTCCCTTCGGGTAGTCGTCTGATTGAGCAATAAAAGAATAAAAGATTCGTTTTGAAAATTATCTTTTTGTGTTGATAATTTAACATTACCAAAAGAACTTTTCATTGCCTTGAAACACAAATTGACAATTCAGGTCAGTTTTGTCTGTTTGTGAAAAGAAAAATTGTTTTTCATGCAAACATAATACGAAATTGGGGAAGCAAACAGTAGGATCTTTATTTTGGAACCTCAATAAGAAAAGGAAACAAAACCTTTTCTTATTTCAAATCAAACATCCAACTCACTCAAGGTAAAATGCTCGACTCAGAGCAAACATTTTTTTTTCCTTTTCGTTCTTTCGTTCTTAGTTTTCTTATGTGCATGCAATATTATTGCAGTTTTCTGAAACATGTATAATAAAAAGATAAAACGCAATAAGACACCTGCAAAAAATCTCCGATGCTTTTAAATACAGGTTTAGGAGTTGAAAGCAAGATCACTAACAACAACAAGAGTCTTTGAAAGCCAATGAATCAATCAATTTATTGTGTGTTAGTCGACAGTGATTTAATAAAAAAAATAAAGAGTGGATTTGATTTTTATTTGAACCCAGGGATTGGATTTGCTGTTTCTTTTATGTTCTGAACATGCATAAATCTCAAGAGCTGTAAATCTCATTTTTCATGTTTATAAACATTTAGAGTTTCAATGTCATTGCTTAGCCCTGTTATAACCTGATTTTTAAGTGAGATAAAGGTGAGTTACGTTTCTCACAACCATAACATTGTAGTTGATCAACATGTAAATGGTAATTTTGTCTCTTTAAATACTTAGTGTACAAACTGATTCCAAAGAAAAGAGTTCAACTTTCGATGCATGTAAATATCTATGTAAACAATCACACAAATTATTTATGCATGTGAAATTTGACGCTCACTGGTTTATGCTTACTCATCATTTTAACAATATTGCGAGAATTAAAAAAATCAAGTACTCTTAAAATCATTTTACTAATCGACTGAAAATGACATGTGTTTAATTAGAATCCGAAAAAAAACGGGAAAAGTAAACTCAAAGTACAAATATAATTTCCACCCTCACATTAAAATGAGTTTTTCGAAATTTTCGTCTTGGGAGAACAAGAATGATAGAAAAAAGATTCAAACCCAGAGCTCCATTAATGAAACATCAACAATTCTATTTGTTTAAATTTGTTATGATACGAATAAAAAAATTAAGAACGCTAAACAAACATAAATATCAGAGATACAAATGGGAATCAATTTCACGGGAAAAAAAATTATTTTTTCGAGTTTTCCGTGTTCACAAAAGAATGAAAATTGATTGTTAAAGGGGTTCGACTGTGCTTTAAATTACCCAACGTTTGTTGAATTGTTTAATTGCTGTTATTTATTTTATTTCTCTCGTTTTTGTATTCTTCTTATTCTTCACGCTATTAGCCGCAATACATTTTAATGTATCAGTTTTCTCCATACGCGCTCGAAGACGCTATTTCAAAAGTAAACAATCGTGAAGTGATATTTCATATTCAGTAAGAAAATTGATTTTGTTAGAGAAGAAAGAATAAAGAATGGAGCTCAGTTTAACGACAGCTAAGGCGATGAGTCGCTTTCGTGAGTCACCGAACCTTTAACGGTAGCATAACTGCGCGTTAACAAGAAAAGTTTATCGCAAGAAAACTATTGAAATCAAATATTGACACACGAATGAATTAATCAAATATTTTTACAGTCGTAAACTTTTCCCCATCTTTCACTTCAAAATTGAATTATTTTCTTTTTGAATGTTTATATTGTTAAAAATATTCTTTTGCCACTCATAATATTTATTTTCGAGGTTACTGAAGAAGCCACATTTTGGAAAAAAGAGATAGAAAGTAAATCCTTTAATCATTAAACCAATATTTAATTCCTTTATCATCGAATCTTTTCAGTATCTTTTTATATTTCAACTTGAAAATCAGAAGATCGAAAAAGCAAATAAAGGAAAAATAAAACTTTTTTTCTCTCTCGTTCAATTTCAATAACATTTGGTCGCCATACAGTCTCGTTTTACCTTTTCTTCTTTCGCCTTTTTTTTTCTCCTTGCATGCTTTACATTTATGTCGATCAACACAATAAAAGAAGAAAATAATCTTTTGATATATTTCACAATATAATTCATATGATGTTCCTCTGATTTCAATAGACTGCATCATAATTTGTTATTGGGCCTATTAGGCTGTCGAAGAGACGAAGATACGTGCATCAAAAGACTTTATTGACAGGAGGCTATTGAAATAAAGTGATTCAGTTGAATGTAGTCAAAGAAACTTATAAATACATTTCACAATGCTTTATGAACTTGAGCTTGCACTTTGTATGCATATATCCGAGCATATATCTACATAAATCCACACCTTCTTGATTATACAGCATTTAGCCCGATTGCAGTCACAACAACAAAATGCAACTATTGTTTTAGAAATAAAATGAAATTATTGAAAATAACCATAATTGTAAATCTTTTATGCACTCAGCACGTGTTCAAAACGATGAAGAAAAGTAAGAAAAGAAGAAAAAAAAACAACACCAAGAGCAATTGCCCTTTAGTTGCTTCGTATATTTATTTACATTTTAAAGCTTATAATTTAATAACTTCACTCCTTGGCATCGCATTCGCTGCGGTCAAATATCAAAGTCAGTGACAATTATGTTCACAAGCAGTATCGAAAGAAGAAGTAGATAGAAGAAGAATGGAAGAAAGAAAAAATTCTATCGTGTCAATTAAATGAAATTAAGCTTCATAAAAAGGCGATTTGAAGCGATCATTTTTCTTCTCTTTTTACACTTTGAGCTCACCAAGCACTCCATAAAGCGTCAACTACTGTTAAGTTGAAATGCGCAGCAAAAATTGCGAAATTCTATGCAATTCTTTCTACAATCATTTTTAACATGCTAGTTGAGCTATGAAATGGTTTTTCTATGTGTGGTATGTTACACAGATGGTACAAGCAAGTGCAAACAAGTGTGCAGTATTTTCAAGGCTTCTCTTTGTTATTTCTAACTCTCATTTCTGTCTGTTTCTTGGTCGCCAACTTTAAACGAATCATACGTTTGCAAGACAGAAAACAAAAAAAAAAAGTTTATAGATCTAAGTAGTGCTAAGAAAATCGTAAATCGTATATCAAAGTCTTTTTATACCCGCAGGCGTTAACAATTCAAACTGAATGTTAGAAAGAGATCAGCCTTCTCTCTTCAAACTTCAGTATGGATGGAAACTTAACAAATTTTCAAACAGTACAATAAAAATGATATTTAAGATTTCTGAAGAAAAGATGATTGCCAAAGATTTATGCAAAAACACTCAACAGGAGCTTTAAAACTTCAGGCTAAACAATTGACTTTGAAAGACACTTATGCATGTACTCACAAAGGTGGGATACGAAGGTTTTTCAATTTTAATTTTCCAATAAATTCTCAATTGATTGCCAAGCTACCTGACACAAGCTCATGTTACAAATTTTTTTATTTTAATTTCAGTACGAGATCATCAGTTTAGTTGGGTTTCCATCGTTTATAAAAGTCTTTTGAATGTTACGATGTGATTGAAATTGAAATGTTGAACAAATCAGAGAAGAACTTGAAGTTGACATGCTGTGATGGTTGCAACGTATCGCGATAAAAGAAGGCAATAAAGCCAACAATTTGCAGTAACAATAATCGTAACATCAGATTCGAGACGTTCTCGCAAGTAAACGCGAGAAGTAGTCAGCTGAAAATTAATTAATTTACTGTTATTGATTGCAAGATTTCATCAACATTGAGGTCATAAATTGAGTGCCATTAATTCCAGATCTTGAATCTTTCTTGCCATGCACGCCACATCAATTAATGACTGCAATTGCATAATTTGTCAAAAGGCCAAGTGGATGACAAACAAAGAATTTCTTCCATTAATCAATGCAAATGTTGAATCGGTTGAACACAGCATGTTGAAACTTTCAAATTGCTCTACACTTGCTTTCTTTATTGCTGATGATTGCTAGTTCTAATAACGTATTATTTCGTCAGACCTTTAAAGTTCAACTTCCACACACCAAAGTCAAGTTCTCGCCTTTTTCAAATCAAAATGAACAAAACAAAAACTCAATTTCTTTTCAATGTATATCATGGAAGATTAGTCATAAAAATACCGTTAATTTCAATGCAACGCTTCTTGCCACACTTCCAGGCAACTTTGACTTCGATACACGAAAATTATGATTCATCATTATTTCTTTTAAAAACAAAATTGCGTTTGTATGGCTTTCTGATGAGTTTCTTTTCTACAAAAATAAAAAGTAGAGCAAAACAGGTTTCGAGAGGGTCGGTCAAGTCGTTTGCACCGTAATAAGCTGATTTTTATTTTACTTTATCGCTCGCCACCACACGCTTATCAGTGAGTGTATCTATTTTCATCGCTTCCCAATGTCGTTCAACTACATTTTATGATAATTTCATTATAAATGGTTGAAAGCTTTAAATATGATTATGAAATGAAATTTGAGACAAACAAGGCAATTCTTAATTGACTTCTGTTGACTGACTGAAAAAACAAGTCTCTGAAACTTCTTTCTTTTATCCAACTGTCATAGATGGTCAATACTAATCCGTTATCTCTACTAAAAATCAGTTTATATATCTCATTTAAATAAATTCTCAACAAATAAGCTACTGCATAAATATACCTTGAATAGATGTCATAAAAATTAAATTATGATATCAAAGACAACCCATCGACAGTGAGAAATGATTTCGTGATTTTGAGTAAATTTTCAACTCTTTTTTGTTTTTATTTTCTTATCTAAAAACATTTTTATTTATGATACAAAAAAGAATTAAAGCTATTGACCAGGAAGAAACTCATGATGGCGACAATAGTACCGAAACAAAGATTTTATGTCGCCTTTTGTACCCTCGTATAAGTCCTTTATTAACTTCTTCCCTCCTTTTCCACAAATCACGAAATGATTTAAGGATTTCTTTTTCCATTTTTTCTTTTTGTTCATTTTTGTTGTGTAAGAAGAAAACCCTCCCTATTTTTCATCCTCGTTCTGTCTCATTTCCACTAATGTGTCGTTACATATTATAAAAGTTTCTTCCCTTTTACTTTTCTTCTCTTTCTTTCTTTTTTCTTTTTTGTCAGGATCGGGAAAAATGTTCGAATGCTGACATAAAAGCAATGTTTACATGAAACATTCAAAATGCATGAAACATTGACGCAATGTTTTACTCGCTAAGAAGTAAACAAAAGAAAATGTTTGAAAGTGTGAGTAATGTAAACCACGCTGTCTGAAGCAACAAGCATTTGACTGTAAATTAGAGTGGGGATGGCGTTTTGTGAATTCAGATGCAATTTTGTGTAACGTTTGAATGTGTGTAATGTTTGGAAATAATTTTACATTGTTCATACGACGCTACATAGCGTCATGCACAATTCAGTCCTACAGTTGGCTTTTTATGAATCAGACGTGATTTGTTGTTTCGTGTGGAAAAGAAAAATAGTTTTGGCGCGAAAGAATATTAAAACAAAAAATATATCAGAAAACTCGTCGTGGCGTAATTGAAATATTAAAAAATTAAAATTGAGGACGAGAAAAAAATTGATGTTGATAAGCGTGAAAAAAAAAGTTTCAAGTGTGTTTAAAAAATAATTTTTTGATAAAAAGAGAAAAAAAGAACTCGAAAAATTGAAATGGCAGTTCCATTCTATATTCCCGATGATGACGAATCAAATGTGCCAAACTCAGAATCTTCAGTCACAATAAATTCTCCAACAAGATCAATACCAATCCCAAACAACAGCAATCTGCCGACACCTCAGCAATCAACGATTGACAGTGAAGTGCTGGTGCAAGCATTTTATGAAGCTCTCTGTCGATGTTCACAAGGTCAGTTAAGAAATAAAAAAACTCGAAAAAAATCACTTCACTCCAATGACAAAGAATTTTTTTTTCCTAAAATAATTTTTATCTCGTTTATTTTATTTTTTTGCGTCTTTCTATTCAATTCACAATCAGTGGCACATGTTTCAAGAAGAAAAAAAATTTAAGACATAAAATAATCAAAAGCTGAGTACAGCGACAGAACGAAGAACGATTGTCGAGCGGTTCTCGACATCGATGTGAACGAACGAAAATGAAAACAAAATTATGAAAATTGAAAGCAATTATTCAAATGCAGTTGATGGCTTGATGCTTTTTCACTGGTTTGTTGATGTTCATGCATGTGTGTACTTTCTTCGAAGTCTGATATTTTTTAATTCTTTCTTTTTTATTTTTTGTTTATAAATATTCAACGACATTGTTCTCGGTGTTTAAATGATAAGCCAGTCTGTTTCGTATAAGACTTGAATGGATTATAAAGCATATTAAGCTTAGATTTACTTCATATTTTCTTTCTTTTTATTCGAAATTAACAATGGCAAGTGATTCATTGTGGTTCTCGAAAATTAATGAGTCACGTTTAGCGCTGCATTTGAAATAATTTTATATGCGAAAAATTCTTCAACCGTGAAACGATTCTAACAAGCTTGAAGATTGCATATCTCATATTGTCGATTAGTTTCATCCACAAGTGACACACAATTTCCTTGTTTTTATTCCATTTCATTTTTAAAAAACTGCATTTAATTTCGCACACATGACGCTTTCACATCATAAAAGCCCACATTGGGGCGGTTAAACCAACAAAACTCTATCAATTGTAGATCAACAAAACGCGATTTCTGCTGTTCACAAATATTTATTTTGCAAAAAGAGGAAATTTAATTAATCACGCAATCCCAATTTTTGACACGATTTTAATCGAAATATTTTTTTTCTTGTGTCTTTTATAACTATAGGATCACCAATGAGTCCACAAATGTCGATGCCATCAAGTCCAATGAATCACGGACAATTCTTCTTTCCACTCCACATGATGCCTTCACCATCAACTTCAGCTTTCTCGTCACCTCGTCATAGCTTCAGAGTACCACGTCGACGATTGAATTCACATGGAAGCTACACACAAGACAGTGACGATGCTGGAGACGAAGATGAAATTCAACAAGATTTGATTGATTGGGAGAATCATTACCAGCATCGCGAACAATTGCAAGAGTTCACAGGACGAGTGCCACAACCGAAAAAGAAGAAATCAAAAAGTGAAGAAAGCAACAGTAAGAAATCTAACGAAAAGCCAAAAAACGACAAAAGCAAAATCACCAACTTCGTTATCAATGCCTTGCAATATGTCATCGATAGTCTAAGATAGAACTTTAAGTGTGTGTCATTAAAAATAAAGAAAATAGGAAAAAATCATTTTTCATTTTGATCTCATAAAAATCGTAATTGTTAAGATCTCAATTTATAAATCAAATATTCGCCACCACACTCACGTCTCTTCATCATAAGCATAATTGTGATAAATTTGTATATGATTTGTAACCCAATTCTCCTCTTATTCAATTGGAAGATTATTTTGAAATTATATGCAAATGCAATCAGTTTTGCAATTTTTATTATAATTTTTTACTTTTAGAATTGTAAATTTTTTACTTTGAGCAAATAAAAAGAAAAAAAAATTCAATCATAATAAAGAAAAGCTTTCATTTCATTATTTTCTCACATGATACAAGCATTTTGTGTTCTGCTGAAAAAAAATCAAAGTTTGTTCTATTTACAAGTAAATGGAGCAAGTTGGTGAGCTTTTCCCTGAACTTTCAAAGCTCATAGTGAAGTTAATTTCCCGCTGAGTAAACATGACCTTTTTTTACTGCTTGGAAGTAAAAATCTCATGTATATGAAGCTTGTAAGTAATGCATGGTTACATCGTTTCGTAACCAGCTATTAAAGGACTCTCATGAGAATAAATTTATTGCCTTGCCTTCAACCTTGATGCTGACTTTCATTTCTCCTCTACTAAATTTTCAGAGAAGTTTCTAACGAACGATGAGATTGAAGGTTCTAGTGAAAGTGCAGTGTTACGGAGTAGCTAAATTAAATATTTATTTTCATATCATTAAAATAACATGGTAAAAGGAAGAAGCAACTTTGCATTTTTTCCGATAACCAGAAGCTTTACCTTTGCCGTTTTCATCGTCTTCTTATACTTCTTCTACTTTCATCGTCTTTTGTTACCCAATGTTCAGTAAATGAATATTAAAGACCTGATTGTATTAATGGAATAAAGATGATATCCTTTCCATTACAGCTTTATGTTCATCTTGAAGCTTTTAGAAAAGTTTTCATCTCTATGCTTTTCTTTCTCTTTTACTTCAACCTTCTCCTAAGTAAGTAAGCTTTCGGTGCATTGATTCACCTTGGATTTTCCTCTATTAAATTTTTCCGATTTCGTTTTATAAGAAATAGAAACAGCATGTTATGAAAACATTAAATGTTTCTCGGTGTATCCTTGAATGCCATGCAGACTGATTGACGTAAGTAAGTAAGAAAGGAAGCAGTTAAACTTATACTCATATGTAGCGTATGATGCCAACATTTAAGAATTCTTAAATTTTTAATTAAATCAGACACAATAAAATTATATTGAAGTCGTTTGACTTCATTGCCACATCACGGCAGCTTTTAATTTTTATCGAGGTTTTTCCGCTCAATCTTCCAAGCTTTGATTAAATTTTAACCAATCTTGGAAGTTAAACAAGAGCGAAATGTTTCTCGCTTGATGCGGAAAATCTAAAGAAACTTATCATGATGTAAAGTGAAATGCACAAGAACGAATTTGCATATTTTCCTTTATTTTCAAATGAATTTTTCTCGTGAAAGTTTTAGTATGACATCCCAGCAGGAAAATTTTACAAACTGAAATGTTTGACAACATTTCAGAAAAATGAACTGTGAGAAAGTTTTTGAAGCTCGATGGGATCTCTCATGAACATTCGTTTACCCTTCAGTTGTTTTCATTTAATCAACCTGAGCTTGCAATGTAGATTTGACGCTTCCAGCTAAATTTTTCCTAATACTTTACACTTGTGTCGAGTTTTTCCCGAACTCATTATGTATTCCAAGGTAAATTTCATAAAAATGAAATGAACAGAAAAAAATCCATCAGACTTATTTCATTTCGACAGCGAGTGAATCAAGAAAATTGACTGCAAACATGCTGCACAAACATGAATAAAGTTTGAAAAAAGTTTTATTTCTCTTGTGTCAGACGAATGAAGAATTTTTGTCTTTATTTCGAGAAATTTATTAAGCATTGCAATGCATTGAAATAATCAAGAAATTGAAGTTTTGCATTTAATTTTATCGTGATGATTCTTTATTTATTTATATCATGAGTTGATACTGTGCACGTTTGTCTTCAACGATTGTTCATCTTCATAATCTTTAAGCACGAAACATCCTATTGCTTCACATCCATAAGCATAAACAATATGCTGCAATGTAGAATCTTATGTTTCACATTTGCATTTATTATACTTCTTGTATCAATTTTCTAAATTATTGGAAATTGTTATTCCTCATAAATTTCATCAATTAAAGGAATAAATTTGATTATATGATCATTGAGTTAGGTAATTGTTGGCAATCTCAGAGGACAACCGAGAAACAGCTTGAAGTATCCCACACGAAGAAGTTTTCTTAAATTAAATTTATTTTATTGTTTACATGAAAAGTATGTCAATAGGACAATGTAAGTTCTTATCAAAGCCTTGTCCTAGAGCCGCAAAGATCTAAATTATGGCGCAATAGCATAAAAAATCTCGTGAATAATTCAAAAAGTTCATTAAAATACGCTTAAAAATCAACACCACTCAGGATCATTCAACTTGGAAATTATCACAATGTCTTCTTCTTTTTCGACTTTAAAATCCTTGCTCAAAATATTCACAAAAGAACAAGAAAAAATTGAAGTTTAATTACATCTTCAATGTCAATGAAACTGTGAGAAAAAACATAAAAAAATATTTTAGCAATTAATTACTTGAAGCAAACTACTTTACATAATTAAATTTCATTGGGAATTTAAAGCTCCCATCTGGTGTTACCTGATGTGGAATTAATTTGTTCCAAGGACTAAATTAATGCTTCGTGGATACATAAAAAGGAAAACAATCTATTCAGACGAAAAATGTTCAAGTCCCGAGATGTTTGCGGTTAACAATAAATTCCAAGGATAAAGCTCTTCGTAGAGTTTAAGATTTATAAATTCGAGAGAATTTATGCTCCTAGCAGAAGTTAGACAAAAAGAAAACATTTTTGTTCAAGTTTAATTTGTGTAAAGTTTGCTTAACATCCCACGACTCTCACATTCAAAAATAAGTTTCTTTTGACAGCCATTATCAAAAAGTGATTAAACTGATGAATTAATATTTTTTAAAGATTAAAATACAGAATTGAAAAATGCACAGAAGGTTGATTAAAATTGATTAAAATTACATACATATTTATGTTTATTGGAGATAAAAAAGTTCTTTTAAAAACCGTTAATGCGAAAGGATATAAACAAGTTTGTTTCAAATTGTTTAACTCCATGTGACACAATCGTCAATTCTGAAAAAGTTTCGTTAAAAGCTTCCTTATAAGAAACTTTCCATTCCAAGTTTCCCATAAGGTGCCTAGTAAGTCGTAATCAACGCCACTCGGGAACTACTACACTTTATTTATTTATCTGGCTTTTACATCAATAAACCGCAGATAGTGTAATTATATCTTCTTTTAATTATATCTATGTGTGTTCCTTACTTTCACTTATATTGGAGGAGACCTTTTTGCTTATATTTCTTATTTATAATTCTTATAGTTATATTGGACTTATGAGAGGATTTTTGTTATACCTGTTGCCAACTTATAAAACAGGCACATCAACTGAATGTGCATCTTAGTTTCAGTCTTTAAAAGCTTGCTGCGAAATACGGTGGCATAAAGGATCTTCTTTAATTTTACAAAATAAAATTTTAATTTTTGTTATCAAAAACTAGAATAAAGATTGAGAAACCAAATTCAAGTTCTTAAGAATTGAGGATCACTTTAATTATGAAAAGGAATCTGCAATTTACGTTAGCAATACTACTTTGCATAGTTATTTCATTTTTTATTTATAATGAAATATTCAAGCTTTATGACTTCAAGGTGAAATATAATGAAGTAGGCATCAGCATAAGTCCTTTAATTTTCGAGAGCATTGAAAATGCCTACATTCAACCGGAAAATGGAAGAAATGTGTTTCTGTTAGAGACGAGGAATACAACAACCGACGTGATTTTGAATCCACGACAGGCTTGCGCGGTCGAGTCTGCTGCTTTAATGAACCCAAACCTCGAAGTATTCTTAATTTATGCTTCAAAAGATCGACTCCAAAATATAGAAAGGACTCAAGAACTGCACTCAATATTAACTTATCCGAATGTGCACATTTATTATATCAATGATCTTGAAAAATTTACAGAAGGGACTCCTTTTGAAGACTTCATCAAATCACGACAACTTTTAGACGCAAAATATCCTATTGAACATACTGCTGACGTTCTCAGAGTTCTCTTGCTCTGGAAGTTTGGTGGAACTTACACAGATACAGACACCATTACAAGATTACCTTTTGATACTTTGGAACCTAATTTTGCTTGTCAAGAAAATGAAAAATATGTTGTAAATGGAGTTTGGAACATGGAAAGTGCTGACAGAAGTCCTCTCGCTACACTTTTTGCAGAACATTTAACAAAGAACTACGATGCAACAACATGGGCTAAAAACGGTCCAGGGTTGNTGAAAGTAGTAAATTACATTGTGAAGTAGTAACAAGAGTGAATATTAACAAAAATAAAAGACTTGATTGATTCATAACATTTCTTTGATGGAATCTTTAAGAGTTTTGATATGTGGATATAGAAGTTTTCTGTTTGTGTCGGTGAGAGCACGTAAAACAACTACAAGCAGATGACATTATTGAGGTAAATAATTACATTCTTGTGGGGGATATTCCTATAATGGGTCACATGATTTTTCGCTCTGTATTTCCTAATACCTACTTTTGTTGATGTAATAATGTTATCTGTGAGAGTAGTTTTTAAAATAATAAAAAGTATGAATATGAACGAAAATGAAAGACTTGATTAATTCATAAAATCTCTTTATTAAAGACCTTGAGACTTTTGGTCTATGAAATGAAAGCACTAAAAAAGAAAAATAATTTTTGAAATATGAGACGTCACTTTTTGAGCGCCCCTTGAATTGTAACTTAGAGAGGTCGTTTGGAGTGCACACGTATGTGAGTCCATATGGGCAAAATGAACACCTATTTATGTAGACAATGTGAGTCCATATGGACAATATGAATATTTGTTTATGTGAATAATACTATTTTTCAGATTGTGAGGTAGTTTTAAGATCAGATCAGAAACGTTACCTTTACAGTTGCAGAAATTAATAGTCTTTCCTTTAGCTGTAACCTGGGATGAAAGTAATTTGCTGTGTAAAGAAAATTTTTAAAAATGGCGCTGTGAAATCATAACAGCATTGACAGATGAAGCCATCATCATAATTATTAGTGAAACCATCACTTAGATTTTTGAAGACATCACACATAGAATCACTTCTTAGCAGCGCTAGAAGAAGATTTTGCAACCAGCAACAAGATTTCTTTAGTTTTGTTGCGGGAAAAAATGAAAGACCACATTTTATATACAAACCTTTGAAATTAACTAAAACTTTGAAAAAGACACTGAAACAAGCATAAATATAAGTGTTCTCCAGGCTACCCTTATTTATCAGGGTGTGTAGCTAGATGAACACTGGTTTTATCCACTTAATTTTGTGTTAAGATCATTAAACTTAAATAAATACCTACTTATTTAATCGATCCAACCTGACGGACAGTCCGACAAAAACCTCGTTTGAAGAACTGCACTCAATATTAACTTATCCGAATGTTCACATTTATTATATCAATGATCTTGAAAAATTTACAGAAGGGACTCCTTTTGAAGACTTCATCAAATCACGACAACTTTTAGACGCAAAATATCCTATTGAACATACTGCTGACGTTCTCAGAGTTCTCTTGCTTTGGAAGTTTGGTGGGACTTACACAGATACAGACACCATTACAAGATTACCTTTTGATACTTTGGAACCTAATTTTGCTTGTCAAGAAAATGAAAAATATGTTGTAAATGGAGTTTGGAACATGGAAAGTGCTGACAGAAGTCCTCTCGCTACACTTTTTGCAGAACATTTAACAAAGAACTACGATGCAACAACATGGGCTAAAAACGGTCCAGGGTTGGTAACAGCGGTAGTTTCAAAACTCTGTGGAACTGAAAGTGTTACGCAAATGATTGCTAAGAAAGAATGCGAGGGCTTTCACGTGTTACCTCGAAAAGTATGCTATCCAATACTGTATGATGAAAAAAGTAAACTATTCAACAGTTCTAATGCTGATGAAATAATGACAAGAGTAAATGAATCTGTCAGTGTTCACTTCTGGAATAAACATACGAAAAATGTTAAAATTGAACGAACTGAAGAATCTGCTTGCATTCGACTTGCCAAACAATTTTGTCCAAAAACAATGTCAATAGATAGAATTTTCTTCTAAAATTTCAATATTTTAAAATTTTGAGTTGAAATTTAAAGCAATCGAACATTTTTTTATTATTTCAACTCGTGATTTACTCGTTGTAATAATTGAAGATTACACAANCAGAAGGTTGATTAAAATTGATTAAAATTACATACATATCTATGTTTATTGGAGATAAAAAAGTTCTTTTAAAAACCGTTAATGCGAAAGGATATAAACAAGTTTGTTTCAAATTGTTTAACTCCATGTGACACAATCGTCAATTCTGAAAAAGTTTCGTTAAAAGCTTCCTTATAAGAAACTTTCCATTCCAAGTTTCCCATAAGGTGCCTAGTAAGTCGTAATCAACGCCACTCGGGAACTACTTCACTTTATTTATTTATCTGGCTTTTACATCAATAAACCGCAGATAGTGTAATTATATCTTCTTTTAATTATATTTAAGTGTATTCCTTACTTTCACTTATATTGGAGGAGACCTTTTTGCTTATATTTCTTATTCATAATTCTTATAGTTATATTGGACTTATGAGAGGATTTTTGTTATACCTGTTGCCAACTTATAAAACAGGCACATCAACTGAATGTGCATCTTAGTTTCAGTCTTTAAAAGCTTGCTGCGAAATACGGTGGCATAAAGGATCTTCTTTAATTTTACAAAATAAAATTTTAATTTTTGTTATCAAAAACTAGAATAAAGATTGAGAAACCAAATTCAAGTTCTTAAGAATTGAGGATCACTTTAATTATGAAAAGGAATCTGCAATTTACGTTAGCAATACTACTTTGCATAGTTATTTCATTTTTTATTTATAATGAAATATTCAAGCTTTATGACTTCAAGGTGAAATATAATGAAGTAGGCATCAGCATAAGTCCTTTAATTTTCGAGAGCATTGAAAATGCCTACATTCAACCGGAAAATGGAAGAAATGTGTTTCTGTTAGAGACGAGGAATACAACAACCGACGTGATTTTGAATCCACGACAGGCTTGCGCGGTCGAGTCTGCTGCTTTAATGAACCCAGACCACGAAGTATTCTTAATTTATGCTTCAAAAGATCGACTCCAAAATATAGAAAGGACTCAAGAACTGCACTCAATATTAACTTATCCGAATGTGCACATTTATTATATCAATGATCTTGAAAAATTTACAGAAGGGACTCCTTTTGAAGACTTCATCAAATCACGACAACTTTTAGACGCAAAATATCCTATTGAACATACTGCTGACGTTCTCAGAGTTCTCTTGCTTTGGAAGTTTGGTGGGACTTACACAGATACAGACACCATTACAAGATTACCTTTTGATACTTTGGAACCTAATTTTGCTTGTCAAGAAAATGAAAAATATGTTGTGAATGGAGTTTGGAACATGGAAAGTGCTGACAGAAGTCCTCTTGCTACACTTTTTGCAGAACATTTAACAAAGAACTACGATGCAACAACATGGGCTAAAAACGGTCCAGGGTTGGTAACAGCGGTAGTTTCAAAACTCTGTGGAACTGAAAGTGTTACGCAAATGATTGCTAAGAAAGAATGCGAGGGCTTTCACGTGTTACCTCGAAAAGTCTGCTATCCAATACTGTATGATGAAAAAAGTAAACTATTCAACAGTTCTAATGCTGATGAAATAATGACAAGAGTAAATGAATCTGTCAGTGTCCACTTCTGGAATAAACTTACGAAAAATGTTAAAATTGAACGAACTGAAGAATCTGCTTGCATCCGGCTTGCCAAACAATTTTGTCCAAAAACAATGTCAATAGATAGAAGATTCTTCTAAAATTTAAATATTAGTTTAATGACAGTTTTCAATATTTCTCCAATGAGTATAAATGTTTACTGTAATTGTTTTTTGTTTTTGAAAAACTCAATAAATTAGTAGTTTATAATAAGAAAGTTGTTTATTTATGATGATCACTAGGCAGTGTTGAGAACAGGCCGGCAAAAAGTACTGAAAAGTACAGAAAACAATTATCATTCAACCTCAATCTCTCAGCTGTGCAAATATTTTTGACTGAATGATCTAATTAAGATTAATTAGATCAGTCAGTCAATGATATTTGCACAGCTGAGACCGAAGTTATGAATGATAATTGTTTTCTCAGCTTTTTGATAGCAGCTCATCAATTAAAAAATACTTGATTGAAAGAGGACACTTTTTGTCAATTCTTTAATACAATCTTTAAATAAAGATTCGTGATGAAATAACATAACAACTCTTTGAATTTTTTCTACATTTACTTACATTCAACCGTAAACACAACCCGCTCATGGCTTGCTTGCTTGTTTCGATTTACTTGACTCCTTTTCAGCGAGAGAGCATCCTTGAAGTGAAGGAAAGCTGCTATCGCTCATGCAGAACAAATCTTAATATAATTTTATTAGATAAATAGAGAAGCTTATAATGTTCCATCTTAACCATCCTATTATTTCAATCAGAAGTTAAATTGAATCTTTATCATTGCAATGCAACATAACACAGATATAGCAATTGAACATCGAAATGAAATGAAATCTGCTAGTTGAGTATGCAACCGAGTGGAGAGCAATAAAATAAGGAAACATCTTGATCAGTAAAAATTCTGACGATATGCTTTTTGCATTTTAAACAATTTCGGTCGTCGATTTTCTTTTCGTCTGTGATTTCATGTCCTTGGAAAGTTTCAATAATTTGGAAAAATGAAGACGATGTTGAGAATAAATTTTAAGATTTTTGTGTGTCTTGCTAAGCAAGCAAGAATTGAGTTTTAAAGGGATGAAAGCGTGATGCTACTTAATGAAAATCCTTCCAACTCAATATGGTCATAAATTTTAAAACGCTAAACTCGATTGAGCGTGTCAAATGATGTTTCAATTAAAATTATGTAATTCTGTTACAGCATTCAAACACTTTTCGTCACTGAACACGAACAAACATAAATATTGAATTATCGAACGCAATTGAATTCAACAAAACTGCTTTTCAACCCCTTTTCGATCTTGTTCGATGACTTTAGAATTTGTTCGATGAAGAATATTTAAAATGCAGGCGCCTTTTGCCTCAAATAAAATAATAAAAAATAAAACTTTAAAGTCCATAAATTTTAAAGAAATAAATTTTCCATTTGACATTAAGAGTGAAACAACAACGCGCCAAATGTCATCAAATGAAATTAATCAGATAGAAAAAGGATTGAAAATGGAATGCATGGGTCATCAAAAAATTATGAACGATGTCAATCGATGTGGAATCAATCTTAGGAATTTATTATTAGATAAATTCATTTATTTATTTATTTATTTATTTATGTATTCTACCACTTGATCAATATTGTTAGAAAAGTCTTAAACTTTTAAATCTTATTAAGAATTATTTGAAAATATTTAAGTCAACAGCATTAGTCAAGTTAAACTTCTTCTTTCAGCATCACAAATTCTCATCCTTAATTCAATAAATTGAAAAATGTTTTACTTTTTCTCTTTATTTTTATTAAATCTTTGAAATGCTGAACGATATCCAGAATAACAATTTTATTTCTTTCCTCGAATCAAGACAACAGCTTAAGGAAGAAAACGAAAAATAAAGAGTAAGAAATGGAGAAAATGAAAATAGATAAATATCACGATGTATAAAGCTGAATTGGCTGAGAAGCTGACAAAGATTGCTGTTCTCTGTTCACTCTTAGAAACGTTGTTTGTTCAGGGTAAGTGACTGCAGCTTACTTTTACTAGATAATACAAAACTTTTCCTTTCTCCTCTTCTCCCTTTCACAACTGAAGAAGAAAGCTTCGAGAAGCATTAAAGATGTTATTTCACCAATTTCACAGTCAACCTTGAGCTTCTGACTTTTAACTCTGCACGATGAAATGAAAGATTCTAATCCTTTTTCTGTCAGAGAAAAAACATTTTTGCCACCATAACAGAAATGTATAAAATAGCTTCACAATAATAAAAGTTTTGAATGAGGGCGAAAATAAGCTTTTAGATGGTGCGAATGGCTGAAGTATTTGAGCAGAAATATCTATTCATTGGCAGCTCAAACATTCTCAACTATAATCTCGCTCCAAACCCTTTCACATTGTTAGATATTATTAAAACACTTTTTTATTGCTGCATATTTCTATATGGAACAACAACATTGTTGATACTTTGTAGGAGAAGAAATTAGCATCACCCAGTGAGACGTTTGTCTTCGTTTGTGACAATCAATGATTCATTGCAACTTCAATTTTTTATGACTTGTTGGGATATTCATTATAATGGGTTAAATAGATTTTCAAACAACATAAGTGTTTATAACAATGTTGTGTAAAGAGCACATCGCAGATGTTTACATGCCTCTAACGTATTGCAAAATTATTTTATTATTTATAAGAAAGAAAGAAAAACTTATATGGAACAAATAACGTGACAAACATTGACAACTATTAAATCACCATTAATTACATTGATTTAAAATGTAATTAAATTGTAACCACAAATCATGGATTTCAAAAACTGAGACTTTTAAACTTAAATTGTGCGTACACAAGGACGACAATGTTCTTCTACCGACCGTAACAAAACGGATAAAATCATAAAATGTCATTTCCCAACGTCGTAAATAACGATTAAAAATCAATTTATTGGAAGCTTGGACATCGAAGAGTCGAAGAATTGACAATCAACTCGTTTCTACTTTTTTTCGCACGAGTATCATCCACAAAACATTCAACACACACACAAAAAGTTGTCATAAATTTGAAATTTCAAAACCTATTTGCCACATCTACAAACGAACGAAAGTGCATTTTATTGGAAGAAAAAAATTATGGGCCCGAGTCGACAGATTACTGTTGCAGAAATGAAAGGAAAGAGGAAAGAGAAAGTAACAATGTTGAAGTAGGGCTTTGCTTTACGTGTGCATTCATTTCACCCTCTACATGTCCATCCTGATAATCCAAAAATTATTACTCGTAAATCTTGTTAATGAAAAAAGTTTTCAACAACGACATGGAATGACCACACAAGTCTATTCATTAAGCCTTCGTTTATCGGTCAAATAAGTCTCGATGCTCGAAGAATTCGATTCGTGCGTCTGTGAACATTGATTTGTGAATTTATCTCTATGTTTGTAGAAAACTAATAATGTCATCGGCAGTGACCATGTCATCGACAATGTTCTTTCTAATTCAATTATTTGTCCACAATATCATGCACAATGCATCAGAATTGCAATGGGTTCGCACGAAAGCATCTCGGTGTTTGATAAATAATAAATTTTCCTGCTCGTGTTGTTTGTGTTGAAAGCATCGTTGATGGAACTGTTTTGTGCAAACATAAGGGACAAAAAAGACGAAGAAAAGGATGACCACCGCAATTTCATCGGTTGAATTGTGTCGCTTTTGAGATCGTTTCCATGCAAATATGTATTTCTCGTGTCGTTCCATTTAAAAGGGTGTAAGCAGCGCTACATAAGTAAAGATGAACATGAAATACTGCTGAAGCGAGCACAAAACACTCGCTGGGAAAATGAACGTCAGAATGTCATGCGATGGGAGAGATAACAGATAGTAGAAGCATGTTAACTGAACCAAGTAGTTGAACACGAGAAACAACCTTGAAAAAAACAGAAAAACTTTTGTGTTGCTATTTTATTTCGTGTGGAAAATTTAAAATGGAAACTTCATAAAACTTTATGTTGTCGACGATGAATTTTCCAATTTTACTGACATTGTCTGTAACAGCTAACAATTTTCTCGCTCTTCGATTCCACTCAACTTGCTTGAATTTAAATAAATATTATTGAATTTTCATCGTTATTCAGCGATGTTGAAGGTTTCATAAAAAATCGTATGATTTAAAAAATAAAGAAGAATTTAAAAGACGTCATTCGAAATAAACAGAAACATCTTGATCACAAATTTATGATTGTATCTCACGAAACTTTGATACCAACATAAACAGTTACACAACATGACAGCTTGATTATGCAAAACTTCATTCTGATATCATTGTTCACAACAAGAACAGACAATTGAGTATCATGAAGTTCAATCTCCTTTTGTAGCGTTTCTTGACTATTGTTCAAATCGAATACAACTCAATCGATACAAAGTGGTTAAGTTAAATGTAGATAAAAAGTACCCTGTCACCGATATCTGGGTTTTGCAATAATTCTTTCACACACATTACCGCTATAATTGAGAACATAAATAAATTCATCAACTTATATATCTGAAATCAATTGCACATCGAAGTGTAGCAAAACAAAACTTTAACCCTTTTTTTTTTTGATGACATTAAGAACAAACTCGAGTGAAATGCGTGTAAAAATGTACTTTTAGTAAAAAAGAAGTTGAAAGGAAAATTGTGTCATAGGAAATAAATCAAAATAAATTGAACAATTGAAAAAGGGTTAACAAGTTATCAGAATTGGATCTTTTATTGATATTGACGAAATTATTCTGCAGATTAAGAATGTTTCTAAGATCTTGAAGACTTTTCATTGAAAGATGTAAAACTCCTTTTAATTGAAGTTAAGCCTCAAAGATTTTCACTCATCATCAAAGACTTTTCGTCCCTCTCACCAGAAAGTTAATTACAAAGTGACAGTTTACACTTTATTTACATTCACCATATAAATCATTATTAATTGAATGAAATATTTGTTTAACATTGTATACAATATCCTTGAGGGAATAGATTGAATATGTCCATTCAACTCAATGTCCAATAGAAATTTCATTTCGCCCTCGAGAAAAAGCGAATACACAAACACTGGACAGTGAGTGGAATGAAAGGCGAGAGAAGATAATTCAAACGTTTGGCAGAACATAACAAAGTGTTAAAGACAATTAATAATTTAAATTTAATTTGAAAATCGTACGCTTGACAATGTGTCGTTGTCCCTTTTCCATTCCCTTTCCTTCCTTCTTTTATTTGTTTGAGAAATTGTTGAATTGGATGCTTCCGAATTATATTCAGGAAAAATACAAGAAGGGAAAAGATGTTCTGATCTTATCACGCATTCTGAATCAATGCCACGTGACCCATTAATGACCATTCAGAATTTATTTAATAGTTAATAGTCATGTTTCCATATCAAATAAGACAAAAGCTGACTAGAAATCATCATCAAACATCATAAACTGATACGGTAAACATTGAAGGCAAAGCCCACACTCCATAATAATAATCATTTTCAGTCGCAGTTTGATTTTATGATGTGGTTAAGTTGGTGAATTATTGAAGGACTCGACATTGTATCAACTTTATCGTTAATCATCGTTCATCAGAAATGACCATTTAATTGCTGGAAATAATCTGACGAAGTAAGTTTCGAAGCATCAAAGGAGATTGAATTTTCAAATATGCAAGTCAATTGGGCGTGGACCATTGATTGATGATTATTTGCTAATGTTAAACTCAGTTAAAAATATTTTAATTCAATACAAACAATTATTGTCTTCTGGTTTTCAAACAAACTCGAGATAGAAACTCTTTCATTTCAATGTTATAAAGTTTCGAAAAAATTCAAAACATAAATTCTTGATGAAAACGACGACACATTTTTTACTGGAGAAACATGTGATGAAACAAAAAATGGGATCAAAGTGTCGATGTCCGCAGTTTACCTTACTAAATATTTTCCTAACATTGCTTCGCAACTGAAATTTGTTTTTTCTGTCTGAGATTCCTTTTTTTACTAGCGAACTTTTTTATGTCGAATTGCTCAATGATAAATGAGACGACGTCATGCAAATGCAGGAAAATTTCTGTGATATTAAAAATGCTTTTTTGTTCTAGAGAAATGTGATATTATGACAGAAGAGGTTATGAAAAAAGGTTCTATCCACAATTTCGCTCATTTTGTGTGGTCAACAACCGGAGATAATTAAAACTTGTGTGCGACAATCAAGCATGGAACAGTTTTAGTGCAAAAGACAGAGTTCTCATGCATGATGCACTACACAATTGTATTTGCAATTGCAATTCAAGCTCAGTCATGTTTTATTAATTGATTTAATTGAAATTCATACGTGAGTAGTGAAGCTTCGACGGTATTTGTCATGTTAATGAAAGAATCATTAAGCATAATGTTTGATGTCCTGGTTGTAGGGGTAGCAAGCAAAATGAATGACTGGTCAATGAATATCACAAAAATGATTTCCCTCGAGGACTAAGAGAGAAGGAAACAGCCATAACTGACTGCTAATACCCCCCAAACGATCAAATTTTGACGTGAAATAAATTCGACGATCATTAAACGAGCTTAAGTTTTTATCTCGGAGCCAAATCACAATGACATAGCCAAAAGGTTAATAAAATTTAATTTCTTCCCATTTCCATATTACATTTCTTGTCCATTCGACTTATCAGAATCTTCTCATTTAATCTTTCATAAAAGAATAAAAGAATCAACATATAAATGTTTCATATCATCAAATCTGCTGACGTATAAAATGTCTCGTCTAACGCAAGTGAACGAAATAATCTTAAAGGTATTCATGAGTGAAATGTTGAAGAAAGGACAACGAAAAGACATTATAATTTTATATCTTGCGAGTTGAAAAGGGACATCATTTCATGAGCGATAAAGAAAGGAAAAGTTCATAAAAAAGATGAAAACTCAATTTTAATGATGTTGTTCTTTTCGCCCACTGAATGTTGATTCATTCGTCTGTCATGGAAGAAAATATTTTTCAAGTCTTTAATTATTCATCAACTTAAAAAGAAATTGCTTATTTACTTTTTAAATTTCTCTGGAAGTCTGTAACTTATGAATAAAGTCTTATCAGAGTCTTCACTTCCATAGAATTTTAAAAAAAGGAGAAATAAATCAAACTCAAATTCCCCCACAAAAATTGTTCAATCGAAATGAAAAAAAAATACTTAATTTTACTGGATAGATATTAAATTTCATGTCATTAAATCGTCATCATTTCAACAGTCGTCCGTCCGAACACTAACAATGGTCAAACAGAGAATCATAAAAAAAGTAATATTGAGAAGGTAGCGCTTGTCTTGCACCCACATGCCATTGATGTGAATGAAATGCTATAAAACTTCCCTTCTCCCTCTTCCTGCATTCATCTACTGTCCTGAGAATGCATCATCATAATAATTGTGTCATATATTTCACTGTCAATAAATTGACGGACATTAATCGAAACAATACTTATGAGTTGTGCTATGAAGGTTCGATGATGTTCAACGTTTTCATTGCATTGACCATTATTCATCATTCATCGCTTAGTTATAAACTTCTGTATACTCGTAACAATGGATGCGACTGAATTATTGCTAACCATTAAACTGCTGATTTGAAGTATCCTGAAAATCACTCTCAATTTATGAGACATTAAAAGCAAGACGATGGTTTGCAATGTGAAAGAAATTTTAAGAAGAATGGAAGCATTACTTAATAAAATTGAGTTAGGAAAATTATTTTATCTAAACTCGATTAACCTTTTCATCCTAAATTAATATCTAAAAATAAAATCGTGTACCTGCGCCGTAGACGTCTTTCATTTTAGAAGCAATATAGCTTTTAGCAAACGGGCCACTGTCGGCGACTTATGTTGCAATAGTTGAACGGTTCCATGGTGTAATGGTTAGCACTTCAGACTCTGAATCTGACGATCCGAGTTCAAATCTCGGTGGGACCTTAAATACTTTTTATTTAATTTTTATCTTTTTTTTGAATTTAAAAAAATTAAATTTATGTTGTGAGAATGAATAAAAAATGTGGAGATACCGGGTTTCGAACCCGGGACCTTTTACATGCAAAGCAAACGCTCTACCACTGAGCTATATCCCCACTTTTGACGATGAAAAGCATTTGACAAAATACATATTTGATTGGAAAACGGAACGTGAACGAAAGAGAATGAAATAAAACGTTTTATCTACATCAGCTAAAATTAAACGTCAGCAAAATTTCATGATGCCTGCATGATGTGATTCAAAGTGAAAGTTCTTTGACCAATCACTTTTTAACTTAAACTTTTATCATTAACTTTTCAATCTGCAAAATCATTCTTCTAACCCTTTTTAAGTTCATCCATTTCGAAAGAATGTTACAAAAAATTTATATTGTGAATGACATTCAGAAAAGTTGGAAATATTTTTTTTTAGTTTCAAGTCAAAAAGTGCAAAAGGATAATTTGATTATAAATAAATTAACATGTGGTGTCTGAGTGGGACTTCTTCCTTCCAACCCTTTTATGGAAACTTGAGGTTTTCCTATTGATATGTTTTCATTTGAAAAGTTTTTAATGAAGTTTCCCTTCTGTGGACTCATCGACTTCTTCTTCCGTTTCAATAATCCTACACTCAGTAAATTAAAAGCAGGGTGAGTCTGTTTTCAACCGAGATATTTCACACTTGTTATCAAAAGTCATTATTTTCCTTCATGATATTGAAGTTTCAAAAACGCGGAAAATCCTTTGTCGTCGAATCGTTTTATTTCTCATTCGTTTAAACTTCAAAGACAAGTTGTTGTTTGTTTCACCTTGAAATGTGTCGCGTTTATTTGTTGAATTATGTTGAGATGGACAAACTCAACCATAAACTTTATAATGAACACAAAACTTACTTTGCAACCATAAACCCCAAGGCGAAATTCTTAAATCAAATTATGAGTGATGACCAGTCGAAAATTCTGAAAACCATAAACCAAGCATAGATGTTCAGAATAAATAAACAAATTTAAATTATTTCATTCCTTTAATTAGAGAAAATATGCTTTGTAAGATGCTCGTCTCAGAAGATTGATGAAAAAGGATTAAAACCCAAACTTTAAATCAACAGAAGAATTCCTGAAATTAAATTCTAAACCTATTGGAATTAAAACCCTTTCCACATTGTTATATTCTTGCATAAGTTTTCAGTTTTCTTCTTAAGTTTTTTTCTTTATGTTTTATTTTCCATTTTGTTTCAACCTTTGATTTGAATTCAAATTTTTTTTACGCAATAAAAGGAAAAACATAAAAATTACAAAAAACGTTTTTCTGCTTCCAAACTGCTTTTCGTTTCTTATTTTCTCGTTTGTTGCTCATACTTTTCATCATTTATTAAAGTGTAGGAGTGCATTGTTTTTCATTTATTTGAGTTTATATCAACATTGTGATCTTGCAAGGTTTTTTGTTTCTTTTTTACTTTTTAGTTTCTGTTTAAATATTTTTTTCTTCCACAAAACCATCTCGCCATTCATCATCGTTTCACCATGATGTTTTATATATCAGCGATAATAGAAATCCATTAAGTTTTTCTTTTTTATATTTATTTCATTTCATTACTCTAGTTTTAGTTAGTACAAGTGAAATCTGTACGAAACGACGATTTCCCTGTATAAGAATTTATGTAAAACATTCTTACAGACATTATTCGAGTGGTAAATCTAGCTTAAGTTCCAACATATATTCACTGGCTCTGTCTCGCTTTTTTCATATAAAATAAAAGCTCATTGAACGACCCGTTTCAGAATTGCTGAACAAAACCACGACCTAACAAACGAACACTGTCTAAATTTGATTTTCCTTCAAGAGATTTCTTTAAATTATTGTTTATATATTTTTTGTTTTTTTTTTCTTCCATTCATTTCCTCACGACATCATCGGTCGTGACAACTTGAATTCTGATTCTTTTCTTTTTTATATTTGAAGTTTTCACTAAATTGAGGAGTTTGTATTTGTTTCAGCGTTTCGGGAATTTTTTTTTCTTTATCTTTTGTTTTAAATATGATTTTGTTATAACTTTTTTTTCTTTCTGTGTGTATGCATGTAAGTGAGAAAGAGAGAGAGGACGAAAAGTCATCAAACTGTTGTTATTTAATCTTCCCACCAATCTGGACCGGAACTAGCATGATTGTTGCCACCAAAGTTGTTTCCGTAGCTTCCACCATAGCCGCCTCCGCCATGACTGTTGCCACCTCCGTTGCGATAGCCATCGTTTCCTGTTTAAAAAAGTTTTCACATTAAAAATGTGTTTTAATTTAAAAGAACATCTTTTTTGAGTCTTACCATAACCGCCGCCGCTTCCACGTCCTCCGCCGTTATTATTTCCAAATCCACGATTTCCAGAACCTCCACGATTACTTTGTGGTTGACGATAATCTCGCGATCCAAATCCGCTGCCACCGTATCGATTATTACCGCGATTATTATTTGAACGTCTAGGTCCACCATAACGATCATTTGCCATTTCTTCCAAGAATCCAGGCATCTCCTGATTCGTTTCAATTAACAACTCAACCAAGTCTGAACAAATGTTGCGATTCTTTTCGTTGAAAAAGCTGGTTGCAATGCCCAAATTTCCCATTCGACCGGTACGACCAATTCGATGAACATATTCTTCGACATCGGAAGGTAAATCATAATTGATGACGTGCTTGACATGTGGAATGTCAAGACCACGTGCTGCAACAGCTGTCGCAACAAGAATTGGACATCCACCAGAACGGAAACATTTGAGAGCTTCTTCACGCTCGCGTTGAGAACGATCACCATGAATCGACGTCACAGGATACTTGTTAAGATACAAAAACTCTTCCAAAGCGTCAGCACCTTTCTTCGTCTCAACAAAAATTAACGTTAAACTATCGGGTGAGTAATCAGCTGAACCTTCACGCAAACGTGTCAGTAAATCAAGCAAATATGAGCGTTTCTCATGTTCGCCGACCCACAAAATGGTTTGCGTAATGTTCTCAGAAGTTGAGCCTACACGTCCAACAGCCAAGAAAATATAATTTGAGAGAAAATCACTTGCAAGTTCTTGAATATTCTTGGGAAAAGTTGCTGAAAACATCAGAGTTTGACGTTGTCCGGTCGGTGGCATATCGCGATTCTCAATGATGTGACGAATTTGAGGCTCAAAGCCCATGTCAAGCATTCCTAATTATCATTTTAATTGAATTAATAAGAATACTATAAATAATAAAAAAATGTCAAACTCACGATCAGCTTCATCGAGAACCAAATAGCGAAGATTTTCTAAGCCAATTTTTCCACGATTAATAATGTCATCAAGACGACCTGGCGTTGCAACAATCAAATGACAGCCACGGTCAAGTTCACGCATTTGATCGCTTGTATTGTTACCACCATAGAGTACAGCTGGCCGCATGCGCGAACGATAAGAAAACTTTTTAGCTTCCTCGAATATTTGCGTTGCCAATTCACGTGTTGGTGCAAGAACCAATCCAAGTGGATACTGCTTACGACGATTATAAGGTCGATTTGATGGAGGATTTGCACTGGCTCCTTGCTCAAACATTCGATTTAAAATGGGGACGAGAAATGCTGCAGTTTTACTATGAATAAAAGAAAAAAAAAGATTTGTTATTTATGTTTATGTCTTTATAATCATTTTTACATACCCAGAGCCTGTTTGGGCGCATGACATGAGATCCCGTCCAGAGAGTATGATTGGGATGGCATACTTTTGTACCGGAGTTGGCTTGTCATAACGAGCCATTTTAACATTCTCTCGAATAATGTCTGTCAGCTTAATGTCGTCGAAGGATGTAATATGTTTGGGGACATCATGACCCGTTGCATCCACGGGAATGTCTTCATACTTGCTAAAATTAATGCCCGTGTTTGCTGTACCGAATAATTCCAATTCGATACGTTCATCTCTTGGTAGTGGAACTGTGTAGTCAATTTCACCACCGCGTTGGTGGTTCCATTTGCCTCCATAGGATCGATTGTTGATATCCTGTTGCAGTTGAGGAGGTTCTTGCCAACGTGTGTTGATTGGCTCCTCAACAGATGGATCAAAGTCAGCCGGCTGATTTTGAAGTGGCGGTCTTTGTTGCTGTTGATTGTTGCCGTAACGATAATCAGTTCCCGATGGACGAGAAAAAGGTCGTGATCCTCCACGATTATTCCAGTTACCACCACGATCTGACGCGTCACCGTTTTGATAACGATTATTATTATAATTTGATGGAGGCTGATTATTGTAATCTGAACCACCACTGCGATAATTGTCACGTGGATTATAGTTGTTATTGAAACGTCGATTATTGTTACTAAAAAGAAGAAAAAGAGAAAGAATAAATCATATGGTGAGTGAATATGGGCCAATGACAACTTGCTGCTTCACATTCTCAGAAGTAAAGCGTATGACTCACCGATTATTATAGTCTCGATCAGATCCACTTCCGCCTCCTCTTGGATTGTAATAATTTTCCCTGAATTCACCTTGATTATTATCGTTTTGCTTCGACGGATTACTTTCAGAGTCACCACCGCGTAAGTGAGGCGGTATATAACGAGTATTGCCTGAACTCTTGCGTTCACGCTCGTTCAAGTCCAGACCAGCAACCTTATTTAGCGGAAAAATAAAAAGCAATAAATAATTACACAATCCCTAAGCACGGACGAAAATAAATTTTTTTTCCGCGGCATTTACACAGATTACATCAATTTTTGCAATTGTGAGACTGCCATATTTGATTTTTTTCTTTTCACTTCTAGCCATGCACTTCACGCTAACATTTTCTTTTATTTGATTTTAATCCATATTTTCATCTTCGACCGACGTTTGATGATGCTCACCTGCTGTTCTAGACCCGTTCCATTTTCGTTTGCATAATTACTCATATTATTTCAAAAGCTTGCGTTGGTTTTTTACGTTTTTCCTTTTTCAATAAAATTTTTCAATGGCCACACACAATTTTGCTTTAAATTGTTCAATTTTTTGCTTTTAAAAGTTTTCAATTTATTTCACTTCACAGATAATGATCTTATTTTTAAATATATTGTAATTGCAATTTATTAATTGTCCTTAAATCACTTTAAAAAGAAATTTTTTTAATTCTCCTTTATTGTAGATTTGACGAAGGTTTTCTTGAACGAAGGTTTTTAATTGTTCAGCCGTCTTTACAATACAAAAGTGTAAAGCGCGGGAAATTTGAATTTTTTACTATTTTTTAATAATCTTCGTTAAAAAAGATTGAAATTGATGAAAGTTGGAAATATTCTATTGCAATTAGGCTATTTAAATAAGTTTCAATGTAAATGTGATCATCTCAGATCATTTCATAAAAAATTATCTTCCAAAATCAAAATTTTTAAGTTGATCATAAACTCATCTAATTCACTTGTGATGACTTTTCATTCATTCAAGGATACCTAACACATCTCACATTCATTGCCTTTTTACTTAACTGGCATTAAAACATATCCGCATAATTTTTTGAATGCATTTACAAAAACCTTGTACAGAATATAAAAATAATAGAAAACGAGAAAAACAATCTAATTATTTTAATGAACGATTCATTCAATTAACGAAAGTTTCAATCCTATTTTTTTTAGATAATTTATTGTTAACTACACATGAATCATGAACTTTCATAAAACTAAAAATGATGTCTAAAAGACTATCAATATTTACATAGATACCTTTAGTAGACACAAATTTATGTTATGAATACTTATATGCTCAATGTAGAAATTTTCTGATATGATCATTAAATGAAGTTTATGATAGTCGTTTTATGAAAAAATTCCTCGAAAAACTTACTTTTTTATTAGCATCTGATATATGTATAGATTTAATTTAAAACTAAAGAATAATCCATTAAATTAAGAAGCATAAAAGGTCGCAACATTTTCTCTCACATTTATGCTATAAATTCAAAACTCTTCATTTTATTAGGAAAAATGAGCCACTAAACCGTCAGTGAATTTATAGAAATGAAAAATTATTCGTCTACTCGTTTAATTCAAATGCGATGAGAAAAAGTCGTAAAGTTTCTTATCGACAATTAACGAAGGGGTTGGTTGAGGGGGAAATTTTATGATGCGACTTAGAATGGTCGTAAATATTATTTTAATTTTTTATGCAATGAAAGACTCTCAACATTTCACTCAATTTAATCAAAATTAAATCTTTTCTTAGAAGTATCAAAAGAGCATTAAAGTTGTTGGAATACGGTGGAGTTAAGAACTTACAAACTTTGTAAATCTTTTGATTTTACTATCCGAAATTGATCTTAAAATATATTTCGAGATTTTTTCGCACTTTGAAAACGATAAAGCATCATCATTGCCAAAAGAATGATGTTCATGAAACAACATAAATTTCATGGATCATAGAATTCATGTTATTTCCCATCAACATCGATAGATTTGTTAAACACGCTTCATGCCCACCGAGAAGAATCAACTCAAATATAGACAATGAATTCGTTGACATTTCTTTTGTTTCATTACTTCACATGTTGATTTTGTATCTGATGAAACAAAAGTGATAACATTTTAGTTCCTTCAATGGTCATTAACAGGTCACGTGTCGAAGAAATTAATGATGAGATTTTTTCCTTCTATGTTTGTCCACTAAATCAATAAATTATCGGATCACAAAATTTCTCGAAAAGGAAGTATTGTATGCATTGAAATTAAATTTAAATTAAACATTGTTTGTTGACACTCCCAAGTCTGCTTGAGTGTCAATGGTCAGCATAAAGCGGACATGAATGCATTTAATTCCCAAAAGTGTCCACTATTTGATTCTCAATGTTGCAAAGCAAATATTTCATTCAATTAACATTGATTTATGCTTGGAATGCAAATAGATGCATCGTTTCTTCCAAGTGTGCCGCAGGTCGTCATTCATTCATGGATAACAGACAAACTACCTTCAAGAGTCATAAATATCATTTTAGAATCTACATTGACACAAATCGAATCTATCGCATGACAAATTAAATGTTTTTCAGGGGCTCAAGATTTCATATTGACCACTCTCAGTCGTTCACCGTGTGAGATTTTATACTACCCTTCATTTGACCATGCGATTAAACATTTCCGGTATAATGCACTCTTATTGAAAAGGGAGATAATCTCAAATTTATTAACATTTTTATTAGATTTATTCCTTGGATTTCTGTATTATCAAAAGTCGTGTGAAATTAAGAACACCGTGATAATAATTACGCGTTAAAAATATTTTTCGAGAGCGATGACGATTAAATTACTACGTTTTTTAAATGTTGCTTCACCACATTTTTGTTGGTGATGTGTGTAGATTCGTAGAATGCTGTCGGCACGACTACACCACGTAAACATTTGTTCCGTGTGCAACAAAGCTTGGAAGCGAGACTTGAATGAGTTTGCACACGGCACTTATTTTAAAAGCCGGGTGAAAAATTCATTCGTTGTATATAAGACGACAGTTTCTCAGCAAACTACAAACATTTCCTGAGTCAAGCTAAGCAACATATATTAAAGTGACAAAAAAGTGAAAATAAAAACATAAAAATATTAAAGATGCCCTGCAAAAATTGTGAACAAAGTAAGATTTTCAGTTAGTGCTGTAAAGACGAAGTTGTGAATTTAAATTCTTAGAAACATTTTTTTTTCTTACTAAAACTGTTTTAAATTGCTTCAAAGTCAGAATGAATTGAAAGTTCTTTTCTTATATAAAATTAAGGGATAAAATCGGAAAATTAAAATTAAAAAATTCGTATTTTTAGACAAAGAAAAATATTTTCCAAACAAAGGTTTTAAATAAAACAAAATAATTTAATCCTGGGGGTTTAATAAGTTTTTGAGTACATTGCTCCTATATCTGGTTCTGATATGCCCTGCTTTTTTATTAAAGAAATTCTGAATCTCGGAAAAATAATTCTTAAAAAGTTACACACAGTGAAATAAAATTAAAATTATTTTTTTTTCCCTAGGATGCAACTGCACTTCCACTCAATGCGGAAAAGGCTGCGAATGTGTTAAAGATTGCAAATGCCATTGCAAGGACGGAGAGAAGAAAGATTGCTGCAAGAACTGAGAACTTGTCTGAAAAGATGTTTTCTACATTCTGTGTGATCTTCCACTAAACTATATTTAATCATCTATAACTTATTCAGAACTTTTTACTTTTGGACTTAAAGTATTATAATGTGAATCAATTTTCAAAGTTGCAATAAAGATTTTTTACAATTTTAAATTCTAAAAAATTTGGTTGCATTTCTTTATGTTTTCAGAATTTTTATAGCTTCTCGAAATGCAAAAGTTTGTCTGAACTACTTTTTTGTTTTGACATTTAGAGCTGAAGTAGCTTATTATTCTTTCTATTGAAGAAGGTCATAAAAGTTTGAGTTATGATTTTGTCTTTAAAAAGTTATTTTAACTACAATGTGAAACATCAAATGTTGGATTCAATCCAATTCAAAGTAACTCAAATAGCTTCAACATGATCAATAAAGTGGAATTTTTCAGTCATAAAAAATATGAAATTCAGCAGAGTGTAGTCAATTTCTCAATCACATTTATTGCATTGATTTGCTTTATACGTTTTCTGTGTGTAGTTTTTGTATAATCCTTTTTCCGAGATGTCACATGTTATTTCTACATTTATAGTGAAATTTGAAATACTTTATTCATATATCGAAATAATTGAATGAGTTATGCAGAAGACAAAATTTGATTTCACTCAAAATTCTGTTTGATCATTTCAAAATTATTTCCTTTTCCCCCTGACGAACATGCATGCATAAATCCAACTAAAAGTTTTGTTAATTATCTTAAAAGCCTCCCAAATTTCTTCCTGTACATGTTCACCGTCATCACTATGTGAACGTCGAATTCTGTTTGTATGCCCTGAGAGAATGATGTCTCAGATAATCGGCATTTGCGTCTAAGTTATCAGAATGAAGTTCAGCTTCGTTTAATCTCCCAGTTGTTATTTGATAATACGACAAGGAGAGAGTTTGAGGCACTAAGCAACAATAAATCCCAATGATATTTGTAGACGTATGATGTGATCTAATCTCCTTTTCTAGATGGAAATTATGAATATTGATGACATTTTATAAAACTATGTTTTAAAGTACAAAGTGATTGTTTATTAAAGGCAAGATTCATGGGGCGAATCAACTGAGAAAATTAAATTATGGCTTCGAGATATATGTACATTAGTATTTATGATGGAAAATTCAAGTGTTTCCGGAAAATTCAATGAACTTTTTAAAGTTTCATTTATAACATATCCAGAGCTTAAAAAACTTTTCAACGGATGAACATAAATTATTAATGAATGGTCTGAATGCATATACGAAAGTCTTTTCAAATATTTCTTTCTGCTCTTATCCTTTATTAAGTAGAACGAAAAATCTACATTTTATGCTTTCTATTTATAATGTTTATGAGAGAAATCATTTTTATTATTCACAATGAAATCCTTTTTTTTATATTGTGGGTGGAACATAAATAGAATGAATTCCTGGATCATCGATTATCTTGGTCAGTTCAATGACACTGTTTGATAGTTTTCAGTCACTAATAAAAATTAAATGGGAAACATTCTATTTTTTTAAGTTGCACATGATGGGAATCAATTCTCTTCCAATCGATTAATTTTACAGTTAAATTTTTTTATAATTCCGCCAATTTCAAATTTATAAATAAAATGTCACATTTATTTTCACTTCGTTAAATAACTAGGTCAATTTCTTTATCTGTTTTGCTCATCATATATTTTTTTAAAGTTTCATATATTTGGCGACATAACTTTTTAGTTTGCAATGCTCATTCGAGTATCAATTTGCGGATGGCACACGCAGAAAAGGGTTAATAATTTGACAATAAAAGTCAATTTTTATTACTCTAAACATGATTTCAAAGGGTTGTTCGTTGTTCAATTGCAGCAACAATCAATCGATTGAAATATTGGAAATAACATAAAAGTGAAAAATGATTTGTTTGTACTGAGAATTACATTTTAAAGCGAACTCATTTACAAAGCGTGAGAAATTAAAGAATTTTCACACTCTTAACTGCATCATACTGGAAAAAGATGCTAACAATAAAATTAATTTGTTATATCACAAAAACATGCACTTTTTAATTGCAAGGGTAGTGAAGGAGAAAATAATTTTGAAATTTATCGTGGGCGAATATAAATAAATTTTATTTATGATGAAGACAAAGCATGCAACATTTGCAATCTTATTTATGCTTTCATAATGATTGGATGTCAAGGTTGAGTTTGTCATTCTGTTTACTTTTTGGTATCAATGACTCTGAAGCGTAAAATTTATTTTTAACTTTACAATCGCATGTAATCAATTCACGTGCTAACACGAAAAAGAGAGAAAATTTCAGCGAAGCGTTTATAATTTAATCAAACTTGTTTGTGTTTGAAAGTCCACCGTAAAATTCAAGACCCTTGATAGATAAGATTAAATAAACCAAACCAGTTAGACTCTGCTTCGTGTTTCTTTTCATTTGTTAGTTTGAAGAGTGCAAACGTGAAGACAAGACGAAATCGTGATGGATCCGAACGTGATTTACAATCCAGAGAAAATGATGCAATATGAAGATTCACTTTCTCTGGGTCATTTAATAGTTGAAAATTTGACAAAAGCCAAGGATAAAGTTATGATTGTGTCGGGAATAACATCGGAAGAATTGACAGCTGAAGATTTACTCAGTAAAAGTATTGCAGTTGCAAAAGCTTTAATAGCTTCTGGAATCAAGCCCGGTGATGTTGTAGCACTTGTGTCTGAAAATCGAATTGAATTTCCGTACATTTTATGTGGAATTCTTCTTTTAAATTGTACGTGTGCTCCTATCAATCTAACATACTCCGAAAGGGAAATGGCTCATGCGTTTAATCTTTCAAAGCCGAAAATAATCTTCACAAGCCCGTTCGCTAGCAAATCAGTTGTAAATGTTGCGGCATCTTTAAACTATGTGAGAAAACTCGTTTTAATTGATGACGAAAATCCGTTTGGAGGTAAAGTCATGCTTTTAAATGACTTTGTAAATTCCAACGAGAGTAAAGCAGCTTCATTCGTACCTCAAGCTACAAACAAGCGGAAAACTGTTTCAGTTATTTTGTGTAGTTCTGGAACAACAGGCTTACCAAAAGGTGTTCAGTTATCGCAAGATAATCTTATCGTAGTGGCGCGGTTCTCAAAGAACACGGTTTTAAAGTTGAGTACCTTAGGTGACGATGAACCTGTTATTTTAGGATTGTTACCATGGTTCCATGCATTTGGATTAACTTCACTTATGGGCGTTATTGCTTCAGTCACTGGAAAAATTGTTCTTCTTCCTAAATTCGAAGAGAGTTGGTTCCTTGGATGTATTGAAAATTATCGTTGCAATGTCGTGTTTATGGTGCCACCACTTATGGTTTTCCTAGCGAAGAATCCCGTGGTTGATGACTACGATATAAGCAGTTTAAGAATCATGGTATGTGGTGCAGCTCCACTATCCAAAGAACTTGAAAAAGCAGTTTATGATCGGTTGAAAAATCCAAAATTGAGAATTCATCAAGGATATGGAATGAGTGAACTTTCTTTGGCGACACATCTTCAGACGAGTTTATTTAAACCAGGCAGTATTGGTGAAGTAGTTGAAGGCTCTATTGCTAAAGTGATTGATGAGAATGGAAATTCTGTTGGGCCAAATCAACGTGGCGAATTATGCATGAAAGGGAATCAATTGATGATTGGATATATTGGAGATGATGAAGCTACGAAAGGCACAATTGATAAGGATGGTTGGCTTCATACAGGTGATGCGGCATATTACGATGATGATAAACAATTTTACATTGTTGATCGTATAAAGGAGTTGATTAAATGGAAAGGATATCAAGTTCCACCAGCAGAAATTGCAGGATTGCTTTTAACCCATCCAAAAGTCAAAGACGCTGCTGTCATTGGAATACCAGATGAAGCTGTTGGAGAATTGCCTTTCGCTTTTGTTGTGAGGGCTGATGAAAGTCTTACTGAAAAAGAAGTCATACATTATGTTGCAGAAAGAGCTTCTCCACCGAAACGACTTCATGGTGGAGTGAAGTTTATTGATGAAATCCCAAGAAACTTATCAGGAAAAGTTCTGAGACGAGAACTTCACAAACTTCTCGACTCATCGAATATAAAATCAAAATTATAAAAGCACAATATGCAATAAAGTTTTACTTTCCTAAAGAGATAAAAGTTTACTTTCATATAGTTTTGTTGAATGAGTGTTCAAAGTTCATAGGAATTTTTTTATATTGTAGTTTTCCATTTACCGTTAGGTTCAAATTCGAATATTTTCCCGCGTTTTCTATTTCGAAATTGTGTTCGAAAATACTGTGAGAAGCCTCAAGGCCAATCGCACAATCATGTAATACATTAGATTGAGAAGTTACATTTCATATCGTAAAAAATAAATAATTGGAAAGTAATTGTACGAATAATATGCAAAATTTTATGTTACACAACATTTTGGCAACATAAAGCTTAGTTTTTCAAAAAGTATCGCAGAAAACTTTACGCGGTGTTACAGTAATTTTCATCATTTATTTGAAAGTTGGGTTATAGACAACACGAATATGAGCACACAACAGGAAAATGACTTTATTAGGATTAATGAAGAACGAGATTTACATGAATTGTTTCGTTTATGGGAGCAGCGCTACACAACATCAAATTATGATCCTGAACCAATTGTTAAAAGGTAATTTCGAAATTTGTTGAAAAATGTCATATTTTTAATTGAACAATTATTTACATTCCATTAGGCTTGCTGAGATTTTAGAAGAAGAAGCCGAGACATACATGCGAAAAGATCCAGACCCATTTGATGAGCGACATCCTTCACGAACAGATCCAGAATCAAATTTGGGTAAAAATTTAAAGCTCATATTTAAGAAGGAACAATTTATGAACAGGTAAATGTCTTTATTTATTTTTCTTGTTCTTTACCATCATATTTTTTCCTCTTTTTTAGGTTGGTCAATGACTATCTTCGTGATACATTTTTCACTCGTCAAAATATTCAAAAGAGTTCACTTGCTCTCAACATTGCTGCTTGTCGATTGATCTTGATCATCATGCCCGGCCTTGAGACATCTGCTGTGTTTCAAGTATCAAATGATCAACTTATAAATCGACTTTATTCGTGGGCTGACACTGCAGATGAGCCATTGAAAAGCTATGCAACTGGACTACTTGGTGCTGCCATGGACATTCAAGAGATTGCAGTTGCATTCCGTGAACAGAATATTCGAATGTTGCCTCGTTTTCTTCAACGTTTAAGAACATTACAAACAAAATTCAAAAGATTCGGAAATTTGTCAACAATCACAAATGGAGTAACAAGTGAACAACAGCTGTCATCTGACGATCGTCCCTTTTCACATCTTGGAGGAAGTTCTTCGACTAACTTTTTAGAAAATGGAGCAGTTCATCATCAAGTTGTTAATAATGAAGTAGAAGATGTGCGTTTGATGTCAAATGAAAATAGTCAAAGCACACAAGATCGCACTCAACAAAAATTTGTAATTCCTCTTTACCCTCCGACACTTGCGACAAGTCAAATGATGATTCTTCGTTATCTTACGCCGATGGGAGAATATCAAGAGTTCCTTCCATACATTTTTGAAGAAAATGCTATCGATATAATCTTTAGCTTTCTTGAGAATGTAGATCCGCATGATTTATGTCTTGCATTTGAAGCGCTTAAATATTTGGCATCCCTTTTGTGTCATAAAAAATGTTGTATAGAATTCTTGTCAAGAAATGGTCTTCAAAAGTTGCTGAGACTTCCTAGAAAATCGACAGTCGCTACGGGAATATCGATTGCATTCTACTATATCGCTTATTGTGAAGAAGCTATGGAAAGAATATGTGCAATGTCTCCGAGACTCATTTCTGAGCTTGTTAATTACGCTTTAGGACTTTTGGGATGCAATCATGATTCAGGACGATGCCATGCAACGATGTTCTTTGGGTTATCATTTCAATTCAAAGTAATGCTTGATGAATTCGATAAACAAGATGGACTTCGTCAACTTTACAATGTTATATCAATTCTTCCAATTCTCTCACATCCAGCTGATGAAAATGCTGAATTATCGCAAGATCAAGAGACTGCAGAACGTCAAGTCGTTCGTCATGTTTGTGTTGCCCTCAAGAAATATTTTGAGTCACATCTTTTCTATAAATACTCACAAGTCATGCGACATCCAACGACAAGAACAACTTTTCCAATACGAGCTTTAAAGAATCCTCCTGAAATTATAAACGATCAGATTTTAACACTTCAAGGCATGCTGCCAATGAGATCGAATTGGCAACCAGTCACAGAGTTCCTTCAACTTGGTGGAATAACTTTGTTCATATTAATCATTGCCCATAGCTATGAATGGAATTACAGTGGACGTGGCGAGACTGTCAGATCAGTTCTTGATGTTCTCAATATTTGTTGTGTTGTGCCAAGAGTTCACGCCGTGTTTTGTGAGAGAATTGACTTCCCTGAAGAGGCCAGTGCTGCTGGTATTAACATAATCTTAGGAGCTGCTGAAGGAGAAATTGTAGCTGATCCCGAAGTTCAAAAATCTGCTTTAAGTCTACTCGTTAACTGTATCTGTGCACCGATTCATCGTCCAAGTGGTCAGCTTGCAAGATTTGGAAGTACAAAAAAGAAATTGATTGATAAGAACAGTGAAGAGTTAATTAAGATGTTGTGGGAGACTGTTCGAGCCAACAATGGGATTATTGTGTTACTTCAATTGATGATGGTGAAGACACCGATAACTGATGCTGATTGTATTCGAGGAATGGCATGTCGAGCACTTGCTGGTCTCGCAAGATCCGAAACAGTTCGTCAAATTATCAGTAAACTTCCACTTTTTGTTAATGGCCAACTTCAAACACTTATGAGAGATCCAATTTTACAAGAGAAGCGTGCCGAGCACGTTCAATTTCAAAAATATGCTCTTGAGCTTCTTGAGCGTGTAAGTGGAAAGCCGATCAACATTGACACATCGCTAGCAAATATCCACAAATCAAATGTCGTTGCTCAAACAAAAATTCAATTCAATGAACAACAATTACATCAACTGATTTACCAGCATTTACTTGACAGTGGACTGTCATCAACAGCTGATACACTTTTGAAAGAAGCTAAACTTGATCAGACACAACAACGTCTCCCGAATACAACACAAAATAATTCTTCGTTTATTTATCGAACGCCGATGATTCAACGTACAAGAATACGTCAAAAAGTTCCTGACTCGACTGAAGTTTCTGCTGGTAATGTTAACACATCCGAAAAGACATTTTATGAGAGAGACGAGATGAAATCATCTCAAGAACAAATAGAATTGGCTGCTTCAGTCAACACACCAATTAAACTAATAAAGAAAGCACCGCCGCCAATTCAAATTCCTTTAACACCATCAACATCAACAGCACCAACACTCGAGAAACAAATGACATCGGAAATCTTTTTAACTGCAACAACGCCAGCAGCAACACTTCAAAAAAATTCGATAATTCCGAAAGCAAATGTCACTCTCAATACAATAATTACCGAATATTTAACAAATCAACATTCATTGTGTAAAAATCCAATGTCGACATGTCCACAATTTGATTTGTTTCAACCACATAAATGTCCTGATCCGCGACCAAATAGAAATGTCACAGGGATGGGAGTAAATTTTGCTACAAGATTCTTTAAACGTCATCAAGGATTTAATTCTGTGAAACTTGATCGTCGCTTCGTCCATTCAAACTTTCATGTTGCAAGAATTCTAAAAGTGAGTTAAGGAATTTATTTAAATTTCATTATTAATATCAAATTTTTATCTTTTAGATTCCCGATCTCGATTTATGCTTCACAACATGCGATTTTACATCTGATGCTAGTAGTTTAATGATTGGGACACATAGTGGTGAAGTTAGAGTGTTCCATATTAATGATTCAACAGAAGATTTCAATGCCTCGTGCTCTGATTCATATATAAACAACATTAAATGTTCACAAAACGGTCGCATGGTGTTGACAAGTAGCACATGGCACACACCATTGTCAGTTTTGTGGAGTGTTGAGAACAAGCAATTTATTTCAAAGACAAATTTCGATGATGAAGAATATGTTGAGTTTAGTAAATTGATACAAGACAAAGTGTTGGGAACGAAAGGTGAGAAGGCAACAATTTATGACATCAACACTGGTCAAGTGATAAGAACGTTGACACCAACAATATTTAATCAATACAACAAGAATCGTGCAACATTCTGTCCAACTGATGAATTAATTCTTTCCGATGGTGTTTTATGGGACTTCCGATCAAGTCAACAGATTCATAAGTTTGATAAATTGAACAATACATTGTCGGGAGTGTTTCATCCAAATGGACTTGAAGTTGTTTCAAACACCGAAGTGTGGGATCTTCGAACTTTTCATCTACTACGAACAATTCCTGCTTTAGATCAGTGCCAAGTTAGATTCTCACCACAAAATGTTTTATATGCATTCAGCATTCAATCAGAAACTCTCGACGACGAACATGTCTATGAATCGTCATTTAAAGTTCTCGATAGCTACGATTACTCCAGCATATCAACGACAGATGTTAGAAAATCAATTTACGACTTGGCTGTTAACAGTAATGGATGTCAAATCGCTCTATGTGAGAATCAAGGTGGATATGAGTCGGTGTCTGAGTCAGTCGTTCGTGTATATACAGTTGGAAGGAAACGTGATCCTGAAGACGATCCTGATGAAGATGATGAAGAAATGGGATCAGATGAAGATGATGGAGAGTTAGATTCAATATCAGACAACGATGATAATGGTGAGAAATTTCTTTATTCTTTCGAATATTTTTTTATTTATTCATTTTTACAGATTTTGATCGCGAAATTATGCAACGACGAAGACGTCGAAGAATAAATGTTAATCCAGTTAATCTCGACAATATGTTCGATGTTGTTTCACTGTCAACTGAAGACGATGACAGTGCTTCGAATTCTGATGTTGATCTAGAGTCGCTTGATTCGGATAATGAAAGTGAAAACAATTCAAGCTACAATTCCGATGCTGATAGTGATGGATCTGCAAATGATAATGATAATGAGAACGCTAATGAAATCGAAAATGAAAATGAGAATGACATGCAACAAGAAGATGCTGGCTGGGAAACAACATCAGAACCAGAGGATTAACATTTTCAATAAATAATTAAAATAAAACTTTTCACGCCAAAGTCTAAAAATCGCGAGTGCTGAAAGAATAAACAGTTCAAGAAAATTAAATTTAAGATTTTGTTTTTATTTTTAATACGTTCTCTGAGTAAATATAACAAAAATGCGTCATTGTTTGCTTAAAATTGATTTTAATAATTTTTTATACTGAAGTGAATGTTCACTTTCTATGTTTCTCTTTTTTAATTTTGGATTCAGAGATCTGTGGGACAGGTGCACATCCTTGATTATGCAGATTTCTTGTGATGTCGTCATAATCTTCATGATCTTTTGGTGGTTTGTAATCAGACACATGATCAACTCTCAAAGTTTTCCCTAAAAGCTGATAAAAAGAAAACATTATTATGTGTAATCAATTTTAAGAATCTTTCCTTACTTTTATCCCATTTAAATTGTCAACAGCTAAGATCGTTGAACGTTGGTCTTCGTAACAAATAAAGCAGAAGCCTTTTTGTTTTCCACTTTTTTTATCTCTTATAAGATTGATGTTTGCTATTTCTCCATACTGTGAAAACACACAAATAATGTCACCTTCTGAAAGATCGTATGGTAATCCACCAACGAAAATCCATGCGCTATTACGATACTGATCGTGCCATGAAGTTTTGTTGCTACTTCGAAGTTCTTGTTCAGAAAGCTTTTGAACATTTTTCATATTTCTAGAAAAGAAAATAAATTTAATATTATTGTTTTACATTAATTGAATACTCATATCAATCAAACTTACGTTAATGGATTCATTTTTAGAGAATTTCCTTTCAAACTTTCAATTAAAAAATTTAAACGTTTTTGAATGAAAAAATGTAAACAAATAACCGATTCACAAGTCCTCGAATTGAATTCGCCCTCGTGAACCGGTTTAAAAAAAGAAATTCAAATTAACGGCTTTTAAGATTTATATTTATAATTAAACTAAACTTTATCACAAGTGTAAAAATGATAAATGGTCTTGCTGATTGTAATTGGAATTTTTCGCTTTAATTCTCCTATTGTAATTTTACTAAGAAGAGCTTCGCCTTCAGCTTTACGTAAACTGGAATATTTATTGTAGAGATCGCTTGGAGTTGGATAATATTTTGTGATCTCCAAAGCGATATCAACTGATAATCCCTTCAAAACTAAAAGCTGCTTGATGAAAGTTTCCCGAACTGTACATTTTCGTTGCTTTACAGATGATTGATTGAAAGCATTAAATTCCAGCATTTTAAATTTCATTGGCGATTTGTTCTTGAAAATATTTTCGATGAACGAAGTCATGACGGTTAAAAATAAAATTGTGTGTTGATGACTTTCTGTGAATTTAACTTCAAAATTGCTATGGATTTGTGTATTTGTAGCAGCTTGAAGTAAAGTTGTAAATGGAAGTCCACATTGAATTTTCCCATTCTTAATGTGATTCTCGATCAGATAAATAACATTTTCAATTCCACATTGTTTTAGACGAAATTTTTGTTCATGAAAACGACCGTCTTTAATACTACTACTGAGGTCATCTAAACGCTTTCTTTCGATAATATAGGGAAGAACAAGTTCTTTGCTTTTGTCATTTTTATGTTGCGCAATCCACACAAAATCGCCAACATTTAATTTTCTTACGTGATGGGAAACATTGCTTTCACGAAGTTTACTCGTCATATCTTGTGCAGATGGTTTTTGTTTCCTATTGAATTTTAGAAATGTATTTAAATGTAAAGAATGTTTGTTAATAAACTTACCCTGATGTTTCCTGAATGTCCACTAATAAAATTATGTTATAGTCAAGTACATTAATATCATCAACTGAGATGTAATTGAAATCATCCTCAAGATTGTCTTCCAAGTTCTGATCCGTTGGAAGAATGTTGCTTGCTGGCGGTTCAATTCTAACTTCTTCATTTATTGCAGTTAACTTCGATCGTGGAACTTTAGACTTCTTTGCCGGTATTGGAGAAACAGGATTATATTTATTTACAAGTTTATCAAATTCGTCATCGCTATCATTAATTTGTAGTGTAGATGCTGGCAATATCGGAGATTGATTATTAGTTTCAACATTAAGGAAATTGGATATCGGAGAACTTGTGTATGAAGGTCCAATTAAATGACTTCGAGTGTTGTCAAAAGTTTTAAATTTCTTTAAACGTGTTCCTCCTTTACTGGTCGAGGATATTGGAGAGTTCATTGCTGCTTCGTTAATTGAAAGTAGATCATCACATTGAGAAAGATCAATAACATTATTTTCATTATTCTTTTTCTGCCGTTTCAATAAATTATTTGGTTTGACTTTTTGCTTTCTTTTTATTCCACTTTCAAAATCATATTTACGAGCTAATCGATCAAAAGAATCTTCTGAATCTGATGACGTTAACAGATTATCATCAATTTCTATATCCTTATTGGCTGAGAGATTTTCAAGTTCATTTTCGTGATCACTTGTTGTAAGATCAATTTGAAATGAAATTTCTCTTTCTTCCCCTTTTTCTTCATTGACAACATCACATTGAGTTGAAATGCTTGAATTATCTATCAAATATGCCGCCTCAATGCTTCTTACCAAATCAGAAAATTTCAACGTTTCAGCTTTTTTGAGATCGATCAATTTATCTTTGTAATGTTTTGATTCTGAAGAAGGTTCATCAATCAAATGTTTCTGAAGTCTCTCATCAAGCATTTGACATATTTTTGGTCCAAAATTTTCTAACACTGCGCAATCAAACCCACTGTAGAGCGTCAGAGGATATTTATTCAATGAGTCAAGTGCTCTTTGATAAGTTTTGCTAATCCGTTTTTTCTTCTTCTCAGCATCTTCAATCCACTCCTTAAGCCATGCTTTAAACAAAGGATTTGGATTCTTTTGTATCACTTTAATTCTTTTGTACTCCATCATGCAATTTTGTTCATAGAATTCATTTCTAAAACATAATTAACATTTTTAAGAACTTTAATTTCACAAATTTTGTTTACAAAATGTAGACTGAGTTCGTTGATTATGTCAACTGTTTCTGATTAGTTTGACACCCTCGATTTATATGATCTTCAGAAAATTTTGTGACATCATTTGTAAATCTTTCAACTTTTATTCGCGCCAAAATGCAGAAATCAACTCAAAAGAATATCCTGTAAGTAACTTTTTGATTTAAATATTAAAAACATAAAATAATGAGTAATTTCTACAGATCTTACTTCTCTAAGACACCAGTTACAAAAGCAGAATCTTCTGCTCCTACAACAGAAACGACAGTCGAATCGAAAAGGTAAAAACGCAAAATGTTTGTTGTGAAATTAGTTGCGAAGAATTTTAATTTAATAAAATCAACAAAAAGTTTATTAAATCTTCAAAGTAGATTAGTGTTTACAAATAATTTGTTGCTTTTTAATAATCTCAGTTCAGAGTCGCCAGAAATTAAAAATGTTTCTAAAAAGAAGAGAAGAATTTCATCATCAAGTGAAGAAGATAGTTTGGCGAAATCTAATGAAAAGCAATCATCAGTAAAAGACAATGAGAAGTAAGTAATATTTAGTTTCAATGCTTATAATCATAAACGATTTAATGATACATCTTTTAAAGAGGAACACAACAAACGAAGCAACCTGAACGAAAATCTTTAAAGTTCTCACCAAAATCCCCTAAAACTCCACCAAAAACTGAAAAAATTGTAAAGACACCACCGTCACCTAAGAAAGAATCTCCAGAAAATAAGCCTTCAAATGGACAGTCAAATGAAGGAAAAACTTTGAAAGTTCAAAGTGCTGGAGCTGGTCAAGCTGGCGTTAATTACAATCCAAGTAAGAGGAAATATCATCCAATAAATGATGCTTTTTGGAAGCGAGGTGAAAAGTGAGTGTCAGTAAATCTACATTAGTCTCATATTTAAAATGATTTTTTTAATATTCTCAGAGTTCCATATCTTGCTGTTGCAAAGACGTTCGAATGTATTGAAGCAGAAAGTGGTCGTCTTGTTATGATCGAGATTCTCAGTAACTTCTTTCGTTCAGTCATCGTGCTCAGTCCCAATGATCTTCTTCCATCAGTTTATTTGTGTCTTAATAAAGTCGCTCCTGCATTTGAAGGCATTGAACTTGGTGTCGCTGAAACTAACATCATGAAAGCAATTGCACAGACAACAGGAAGAAGTTTAGATCAAATTAAAAGAGATGCTCAAGAGACTGGTGACTTGGGAATTGTTGCTGAGAAATCTAGAAGTAGTCAACGAATGATGTTCACTCCAGCTCCACATACAGTTGATGGGATGTTCAATAAACTTAAGAATATTGCCAAAATGACTGGCGCAACGTCAATGCAGAAGAAAGTCGATACAATTAAAGGAATTTTTGTTGCATGTCGTCACTCCGAAGCGAGATTCTTCGTTCGTTCATTGCTAGGAAAACTGAGAATTGGCCTTGCTGAACTTTCCGTTCTTCAAGCTCTGGCTCAAGCAGTCACATTGACACCACCTGTTGACAACAAAGAGCCTCCGTTTACTCTCAACGCTTATGAAAATAGAAGTGCAGCGACAGTTAAGGATAAAGTCGAAGAGACTGCACTCGTCATTAAGACAGTCTTTTGTCAATGTCCAGACTATAATCAAATCATTCCGATTCTCATTCAAGATGGAATTGATGAGCTTCCATCGAAATGCCAGATGAAACCAGGAGTTCCATTAAAACCTATGTTGGCTCATCCTACAAATGGTGTGCATGAAGTGCTTGAGAGATTCGACGGTGTCGATTTCACTTGTGAATGGAAATACGATGGCGAACGAGCACAAATTCACATGGATGAGAAAGGAATTGTTAACATTTACAGTCGAAATCAAGAGACAAACACAACTAAATACCCAGACATCATTGCAAGAATCACAGAAGCGACTAAAGATTCAGTGAAATCTTTCATTCTCGATACCGAAGCCGTTGCATGGGATTGTGACAGAAAACAAATTCTTCCGTTTCAAATTCTCTCAACAAGAAAAAGAAAAGATGCGAAGGAATCCGAAATTAAGGTTCAAGTTTGCGTCTACATGTTTGATTTGTTGTATCTGAACGGACAGAATTTAGTTGAATTGCCATTTACCAAACGTCGCGAACTTCTTTACGAACATTTTAATGAATTTGAAGGACATTGGAAGTTTGCAACAAAACTTGACACGAATGATCTCGATGAATTACAAACGTTCCTTGAAGATGCTGTGAAAGGAAATTGCGAAGGTTTAATGGTTAAAACATTGAAGAAAGAAGCCACTTATGAGATTGCAAAACGATCGAGGAATTGGTTGAAATTGAAGAAAGATTACATGAGTGGAGTGGGAGATTCATTGGATTTGGTAGTTCTTGGTGGTTATAGAGGTAGAGGAAAGAGAACCGGAACTTACGGTGGCTTCCTGCTTGGATGTTACGATCAGGAAAATGAAGAATATCAAAGCATTTGTAAAATTGGAACGGGATTCAGTGACGATGATCTTGCAACTCATACAGCATTTTTCAAAGATCACGTTATAAAGGAACCTCGTCCTTATTATCGTTACAACCAAGCACATGCACCTGACGAATGGTTTGATGTCTGTCAAGTGTGGGAAGTGAAATGTGCTGATCTTTCTCTTAGTCCCGCTCATCAAGCTGGCATCGGACTTGTCGATCCTGAAAAAGGAATTTCACTTCGATTTCCTCGCTTCATTCGAATTCGCGATGATAAAGCAGTTGAAGACGCAACATCAGCTCAACAAGTGGCCGACATGTATCAGAATCAAGATCAAATTAAAAATCAACAATCGGGAAGAAAAGTTGACGAGGAAGATTTTTATTAATTTCATTTTTTTCTTGATTATTTATTGTTGCAAAAATAAAACTTTCACTTTGAATTTTCTCTCTTTTTATTTTCATGACATTCAGATTAGAAATTAAAACAAAAATTTACAAATTCTTTAATTCATTTATTTTCAATTCGTTTTTCATTCTTCTTTGTCACACTCTCAAAGCCACTCTCAATATCTTCTTAAAAATATTTTACTCGTCTATGAAGTAACAAGATATGAAAGAAACATTTTGAAAGCAATCAAAAAGTTTATAAAACCTTAAATCGTTAATCTCAAATCATCATTTCCACATTACATAAAGTTTGATTTTTCAGGTGGATTCTGATTGCGTTGCTGTTGATTCCAAGGTTGATTGTTTGGACCCTGAAAGACATAAAAAAGGAAGAAATAAATTATTTAATATTGAAAAAGTTCTCTTAAAATTACTTGTGGGTTGTCATTATTATTATTATTTGATCCACCACCACCACCGTTACTTTGTTGGTTCATCCACGATAAGAAACTGGAGTTATTATTGAAACCCTGAATTCCATTCCAATTAATACAAAAGACGATTTGAAATGTGAGACAACAATCAAACAAAAAGAAAGAGAAAGAAATAGAGAGAAAAAGATCAGCAAAAGTCATTATGCTGGTAGAGTCAGGACAGCAATGGAATGTTTTGTCATCAGAAGTTGAGATTCATCTTTGAAATGTCTCAACTCTCTGATTTTAATTATTACAAACCTCACCTGATCATTATTTCCTTGATTCTGCATTCCATTGAGAAGTCCACCCATAGCAGACCCCCATTGATTAAGCGCTGCTGCAACAAGTGCTGGATTCATAGGAAGTGCATTCAAAGCATTCATAGCAACACCTTAAAAATAAATTCATTCATGATTGTCAATGTTTGATGGAAAATTTAATAAAAAAAACTTACCCATAGGTGGATTACTCATGTTTGAGCCTTGATTTTGATTCCCTCCAGGATTTATTCCAAGATTCTGTAAGTTTGGCATGTCCAAGTTACGATTACTGTTACTATTTCCGCCCCAAGCGTTTGGATTGTTTCCACTCATGTTGTTGTTTGGCATGAAGTTTCCTCCATTATTTCCACTCGGACCTCCGCCACCACCTCGTCCATAATCATTTCGATTGAAGTTTGAACCTCCATAGCCACCTCCACCGTTTCCACCACGTCCACCACCATAATTCGATCCATTGGAGTTGTTTCCATAATTTTGACTTCTGTTGGATTCTGATTTTGGTGCTGCATTACTGACATGAACTGATACACCTTTGATTATGTGATCTTCTCCACAAAGTCCTTGTGCGATTTCCGGATCCAAAAATGTGACAAAACTGAAAGCTCTGAATGGTTTTGGGATGAAGACGTCAGTCACTTCTCCGAACTTTGAGAAGTATTCTCGTAAATCGTCTTGTGTCATTTCTTCTGTGCATCTCCCAACGAATACTTTGCATGGAACTTGCTGTACTGTCCCTTCTTTACTGTTTGGAACCTTCACTTCGCACCAGCGTCCGTCGACTAAATGGCGCTGACCTAATACTCGAAGCTGGCACTCATAGCTATACATTTAAAAAAAAAAAAATTATTATTGGACATTCAAAAGCATTTATTTAAAATGCCTAAAAAGAAAATCTTGTATCATTACCTTGCAAATCTCACGAATCCGAAACCTTTTGAATGTCCTTTTGAATCTTTCTTTACTTGTATCATTAAAACTTCACCAAATGTCTCAAAATATTCGCGAATAACTTGTTCGCTTGTCTTCCAAGCTAATCCAAGAACAATCAAATCAGTGCATTTGTTTGACTGACATTTTGAAACTTTGGATTTGGAAACATTTTCCATGACATCGTCAGATTTTCGCTTGTTTTCTGAAACGGATTCTACATTTAATTGTGAGTTTGTCTTTTCAACATTCCTGCTCGTACCTTTCGGAAAGACGCAATAATAAATCATTTCAGAATCCCATCCATTGTTTGGTGGATGCAAACGTGATTCATTCAATCGAATTCCACGAATTGCTTTATTTTCTGGATTGCGGTATTTGAGACCTGTTGCACCTGGAAATTGTCCTTGCAGTGTCGACAGCAATAGCGTTCCATCTTCCTCTAACGGTAGTTCGATGGACTCCTCGTTGAACTCTTCAGCAACCTGGATAAATTCTATTGACATAACTGATGATGTCCAAAACAAGATTAGAATATTAGATTATTGAATAAATTTAAATATTTTAGTAGATTGTTAAATTTATCATGTTAAACTTCTTATTTTCTTACGCACAGCATCATCATGCTTATCATAAAAGAGCTAAAATATTTACAGTTTGGTTTCATTTCTTTCTTGCTGTATATCTGAAACATCACAGTTCATGTCAATGGCTTAAATAAAGACAAACATACCAACAATACTTGTTATATATCAAATAAATAAAATATTAAGAAGGTGAAGATAAAAAGTTCATTCATATTCAACAAAGAAATGCTTTCCCATTCTTCTTATATATCATACGACTTCCCTCTTTTACTGTTAAACTAACTAAACATGGTTATCTATCAGTTATTGCCATCATTTCTACTTCTTAAAAATCTTCCGGTTAAATTTTCCCCCTCATCCCCACTCTTCATTTTCACGCCATTTTTTTCTTTCCATAGATTTCAAATGCGATTATTCCGGAAAATTCAAAAAATACCATCTTATCACTATACAATTTCCATTTTCATTCACCTTCAACTTCTTCAGACACAATACCAACTATCTAAATATCAATCAACGATCAGAAATCTCCTCAAAAGCTTCTCAGATGAATCTTCCTTCGCACTCAATCAATCATAAATTTATGTGTCAATATCGATCACTTTCGGCACAATTTGAGTGTTATAGGATAGCAATGAATTACAATTTGAGATTATAATGGTTGTACGCTTTGTGCGGCTTTAAATCCGTTTATTTTTCACTTTTAATGTTAATATTTTTCACCACAATCAATTCAGTAGAGTATGACGACAAATGATGATGCTTTTGACTTGTAGTTTCGATTATCCGACTAACCGATTATCCGAAAGTCGTAAGAAATTTCCAGACTAAGTTGTGACAAGTGAAAATTAATTTTTTTAGAAAATCAAAAGATTGAGGTCAAATATTGAGTTAATATATTGTTTATTATATTTGGATGTCATTTTCATGACATGTCAAACAGTAATTTTATCAAGAAAAGCATTTTAATACTTTGTTTGTGTACGTAGTCCGAAACGTAAACAACACTTAGCTCAACTTAACACCGCATACATTCTAATCGCCAAGTTAAAGTTCTGAAATTATTGAAAACCATTTAATTAATTTTCTCTAGTAAAAACTTTTTACACTAAAGTGAAAATATAATCATTTTGTACATGAAATCAGTGCTATCCTTTTATACAATTTATTTTTTTAAACCGTTTCCGATTTACTTTGATTTATTGAATTTTTCGGATCGCAATGTTATTAAAATTTAATTCGAACGAAAGATCAACAGGATACACTAATGGGAAAGGAAAAACAGTAAAATGTAAGTAGACTTACTAAATTTAAATCGCAAAAGCAAAAGTTTTAAATTTAAAAGCCAACATTGATGAAGCATATTGAAATAAATCAATTAAAAAAAATCACAGTAGTTTGCTGTGCTGTTTCTTCTTCTTTTCTTTTGTTTGGCTTTGAAGATTAGTCATTTGTCTGGGACAAGCTTCGTTTTAGTTATATAAGAAAATCATGTTCCCTACAATATGTGCATAGCACACCAATAAAAATAAATAGTTTTTTTCAATTATTTAATTTCGTTGATACGCACAAAAAGTGAACTTTTTTTCAAAATATTAGTTTGTTTAGTGGGGGGAGGGGAATAAATAACAAAACAATTTTCTTATCAACACGTTAGATGTGACTGACTTTTTTCTTTTTCCTACAATTTCTCTTTATAGTGACATCAAGACTTCATCGTAAAACTATCAGAATTGCATCTAAGCCTGGTAAAAAGACTCCCGGAAAAAAGATTTCTTTTGGAAAGAATCAAAAAGTGAGTCAACCAGTTCGATAACCCTGACATAATAATATGCATTCACGTTTCTCATATTTCTTCTTTTTTTCTCTTTCTTGTTTTATTTTATTTCTTGCATGTGATGTTAGAACTTTCATGCTTCGAAGAACTTTCCACCGACAACAACTTCACTTTGCGACAATTCGAATGACTCAGGTCTTGGCTTTGAAGAATCTCATCAGCACCATCTTTCAGCATTAGCCTTGACGGCAACCAACGTCACCAGCAACAACAACATCAACAACAACAACGCCAATTATCGACAATTGAGCGCTCTCAGGTAAAAAATCTGATAATAATCGGTTATCTCTCTCTGTCTTTCTTTCTCCTGCATGTGTCTCGCTTTCTCAAAACAAGTAAAACCTCGTCGTCCTGTTTTATCTCATCGACTAAAACTGTGCTTATCATTTGGAATTCCCATACAATCCCAAACACAAAAACAAAAACTTATCCTTGTCACGTTTTTTTTTTGGCTACTAAATAATCCATTTTTTTATTGTCTGAGATTTTTTATTTAGTAACTTTCATATTTATCTAAGAATTAATGTTTAACAAGAACAAAAAGAAAAGAAATTGTTGATATCCTCTCAATTGCAAATTAAATATCAAAACATAAAGAAATTCTAAAACAACACACAAACATTTAGGTACAGTGAAGTTATTCAATCTCCAAGCACTGTCACTCAACCAGTTCAAGAGAAGAGTAAAGCGAAGCGTGTTGTGACAATGAGTAGTAACAACAGTAGTCGATCATCGTTGGCAGCAAGACTCAATCAAAGCTTCTCGCTTCGCACGGAGCATGAAGACACGTGCAACAGTGACGACTTCTCGTCATATTATGCCGAAAACAAGTAAGAAATATTATACAAAAACAGTTGATAACACCATTTCTATGTTTCATTTCTAATCATCTTTCTAATTATGATCTTTAGTTATTATTTTTATTAAATTAGTTATTTTTTGTAAGCGTTTTGTGAGAACATTTTCCCAAAGTTGCTACTTTTCATTAATTTTTTTATATTTGCTTTTGAGAGAATGATTTATATTATTCAACTTTTCATAAAAAAGAGGGAAATTTTGTGTGTAATGAATATCAATTCTTGTTACAGATCAAAGCTGGGCTCTTTGTCACCAACTGACACATTTTATCAAAGTTCACCCGAGAAATTATCATTCTCGGGTTCTGAAGGCTCATCTCCGGTAGCATCAAGCGACAACAGCTCGTCTCCTTTATCATCAGCAGCATTGGAGGCGTTTGAAGTCTTGCCATCATCACTGCAAAAGCAGTTCCATCATACATCGCGAGATGGAAGTGTTCAACTTCAAATCGTCACACAACCAGAACAACAACATCGTGCACGTTATCAAACAGAAGGAAGCCGTGGTGCTGTTAAAGATCGAAGTGGTAATGGCTTCCCCGTTGTTAAGTTGAATGGATATAACAAGCCGACAACTTTACAGGTAATTTTTTACTTCTCTTTTTTATGTTTTCCTTTTTTTTCTTTATTTTGTTTACAAACAGTTACATACAAATGTTCATAATTCCATCACGTTTATAACATCTCTTAGGTCTTTATTGGTAACGACGTTGGTCGTGTTTCTCCTCACATCTTTTATCAGGCATGTAAAGTCAGTGGTAAGAATTCAACACCATGCAGTGAAATGAAAACAGAAGGCACGATGGTCATTGAGATAGAAATGAAGCCAGAAAATGATATGACAGTCATTTGTGATTGTGTTGGAATATTAAAGGAGCGTAATGTTGATGTTGAACATCGTTTGGGACGCAACAATGCATTGACAGCAACAGTAACGAGGAACAAGAAGAAATCGACAAAATGTCGCATCGTTTTTCGTGTGAAAATCAACGAAGATTCAGAATTTCTTCAAGTTTGCAGCAACACAATCACATGCACGCAACCACCAGGCGTTCCTGAAATATGCAAGAAGTCTTTGGACTCGTGTAGTGTAAATGGCGGTAAAGAACTTTTCATAATTGGAAAGAATTTCTTGAAAGACACGAAAGTTACTTTCGTTCAATATGAAGATAATCGTCAAATGAAAGTTTTATGGGAAGAAACGGTCCAACCAGACAAAGAGTATCTTCAACAAACTCATCTGATTTGCGTCGTTCCATCTTATCCCAATTCTGAAGGAGTTTTAGAAGAAATTCCTGTTCACATTTATGTTACATCGAGCAACAAGAAGAGCGAACTTCATAACTTCGCCTTCACTCCTTTCAGTGAATCAGGATCAGGATCGTTTTCAAATTCTCCCGTTTCACGTTCATCTCTCTCTTCTGACGGTGGAAATATCATCTACACACGACCACAAGATTCAAGTTCACCGATTCTTCATCATCATCAGCAGCAGCAGCAGCCACAACAACAACAGCAAATTGTGCAAAATGTTTTAACAATACCGACATGGAATGAGACACAAGTTCCATCATCTGAACAAATGATGCCACCACCACCAATAATATTGCCACGAAAATCGTCATTCTCTAACAATCTCCCTGAAGCCACTCCAACTGAAACGATCACATTGAAAACAGAATTTATTGATCAAACACCGATTGTCACTGTCATTAATGGAGGCGAACAGCCGCAGCAGCAGCAGCAACCACAACAAGATGTGTTGACTTCATCACCTGTTGTTGGTCTTGTTCAAACATCAGTTCCCGGTTCGGTCAAAAACATGATGTATGGCGATAGTCCAATGATTGACGTGACTGGAATTCCAAATTCATTTGTCAATCAAGAGACGCAAGCACTTATAGCATCGTCACATGTCCAAGACATTCTTGACGGCTTTAAAATGCCATCAAGTGAGGGAACTATTGAGATGTGCCACATAAAAAACGAACAACGAAGTCCTGAACAAGCATCTTCACCATCGCCACCACAACCGCCTGTTGCAATGTTATCCCCACACACGCCACCGCAACAATTAAGTCCAGTACAACAGCAACAAGTCGTTGAGAATTTCCTGAATATGATTGTTCAATCATCAGTTATGAGCGATCCACCGTTGATTGAGAATCATCATCATTTGCCTCAAGATATTGTTCTGAATTCTCCATCAGTTGTAACGACGACATCGAGTGTCATGCAACCTGAACAGTTAACAAACTCCCCTCCGACCATAATGATCAATAATACGATTGCGCCGGCATTGTGCGGTGAACCGACAATGATGGCAGTTCAAATGGTGCAAAATGAGATGAACACAATTGGACCATCATCGATTGAAGGTCCATCAGCAAGTTCAATTGTTTCAAATGCTGTGTCAGATGCCACTGCTGAAACGCAAGCTGTTGTTAAACAAATGATCGCTCAAGCGGCAGCTGAAATCTTATCAGAGAATGTTACTGAAAATCAAACAACGATCAGCAACTTTATTTCAAATATTATGCCAGCCCCTGAACAACAACAGATGGCGAATACTCAACAATTGCAGCAAATGTTAGTTCAAGAGTTAAATGGAACAAATACAATATTACAAGATGTTGTTAAGAAAGATGAGAAGACTACGTAAGTTAATTAATTAAGTCAAATATTTCCATAAATTTATTTTTTTCCTTTTTCCCAACACAGGAACACAACACAAGAAGTAGGACAAAATGTTTTAATAAATGCCACACCAGTTACAACGACAACAACTTCAATAGCTCAACCTTTCTCGCCAACAACACAAGATCTTACAACAATGTCGGAAAGCGACTTGATTAGTTTTATTAATCCGTCTGTCTTCATGTAGGATTGAAGTTGAGTAAATTCAGATGTCTGACATTTTATATTGATAAATATTACAATTATGATTATTTGCTACCTTCCATTTAAAATATTAAACTGTTAAGTAATCGCTGGACTGCAGTTATTTTAAATATTAGATCAACATGCCCTTTTAAAACATAGTACAATGAAGTTTGTTTTACTCTAACATTTTTCTTTCTTTCTTTTTGTTTAGATATGTAGTAAATTTCTACTCTCTCATTCTTCAATCCTTTAGCTATATTTAGTTATTCATAATTACCTTCCTTCTTCTTGTTTATGTAAGTTTCTTTAGAATAGTCACAAATGCAACATAGGAGACTCAACAGAATAGATTTATGAATGTCCATTAAAATCACTTATTGGTCCATTTTTTTAATTTTAATCAAACAAAAAGTTAAAGTTATTGGGAATTAGGGATAATTTGTAGCTTAATGTCACGGAGAAAGTTGAATTAGCAGATCATAAAAATAATGTTAAAAGCATCATTATAAAAACGGAGAAAGATGCCTTGGAAGTTATAAAAAATTTGCCATAACTTTGCCTCAAAATTACAATCAAAACAGAGAACAATGAAGATCGTTTCAATGATTGCAAAAAGTCTTTAACAAACCAGCGTAGTCTTAAATTTATTATATTGAAACATGTGCAAATGCAAGTAATTTGGTAAATTAAAAAGGAAGAATGAAATGTTTTCAAAAACAAATTAAATCTAAACAAAATTTCTTGCGATAGTTAAGTCATGATTTAAGTGAAGAAGAGAATGGAAAAGAAATTCTATTTTATGAATGTTAAATGTTGAAGAAATGCTTTTAATTGTTAATTTAAAATAATATCGTGAGGATAATTTATATTCCAGTTGAATAACTTTATTAAATTGGTAATTTTATCAGTGACGACTTCGTGGGAAATAAAAGAAAAGAAAGAGAAAGAAAAGCCTTAAAAATAAAACTAAACAAATATCTACAATTTCATCAGATTAGAGATAAAGAAATTTTTTGAAAATGAAGTGAAAGATAATTATTTTGTATCCCATTTTGACGATAAATGAAAAATATATATTATTATGCTATAAAATGTTGTAATCATTTCAGTCTTTTAATTAGGATAACAAAGAAAGAAATAATTTTATTACAGGATGAATCATTATGAAATATTTATCACAAGGGAAAGGTGTTGGGGGGAGAGAGGAATTTAAACACATGATAAGACTTAAGGGCGCTAAGATTATTATTGAGAGCTTGTTTATGACTTCAAGTCGCTCTAGATACTGTTATCAGTTTATCAGTCGTTCATTCTACGTTCAATGACAGAAAACGTATTTTCAAAAGATAGAATTAAATTGCTGCTCGAAAGCGAAATCAGATATTTAATTGATTGATGTTTATGACTTATAGAAACAAATGAAATTGTTTTCTATCATTTATTATAAAACGAGTTGAAACCTAGTTCATTCAATTAAATTCCAGAGATCTACTTGAGCGCGCTTCTTCATAACTTCAAGATATTTTATTATATTTATTCATATTGCGTCGCGCCAATTTATGAACCAGAAGAATAAAATTGTTTACAGCTAAATCAGTGATTTGAGAGGCGACGCAGTGGGAAATCATGATTACAATTTTTAAGAGGTTGAAATCATTCAAGACACTTATTCTTGCAGTCTTTAAGAATTAAAAGCAAGAAATGAAAACAAGTTCGACTTCTTCTAGAAGATTACACTGGTCATTGGTCTTAGAACGAATAAAGCTACGTCATTACAAAACAGATAATTACGAGCATATCGTCTTGCTTCGCTACTTTTACGTGTTTTGTTTTGAAAGAGATAAAATTGGGAATTTCTAAGAAAAATAAAGAATTCACTTGTTTATCCAACTTCCTAAATATATTTGTAAGATATCTTTTGACATTTGAGATTCGTAGATTCCAGAATTTTACTCCAAACAAGTTGTCAATTTGAGACGCTAATTTGAAGGCAATCAACTGAAATAATATTTATTTAGTTTTAAATAATAAAACTTGAGAATGAAACTTGTTTCTCATCGGGGATAAAAATAAAGTACAAATGACGAGAAGGCTTGTCAACGGTGACGATGATGCTGATTCACTCGTGCCTTATCACCTAAATTATTTTATACTGGCTTTATGGAAAGCTGATAAACGTGATAAAAATGTAGCAAAAATAGCCAAAATTATCAACCTTTACTTCAGTTTTTGATCGAACTCTTTGGGACTCAAACCGTGATAAGAAAATTAATTACAAACATGGGATGCAGCTGTGGAAGTATTTAGAAGAGAATGTTTAATTTCGAAAGTTCTTTATTATAATTCTTTTTAATTGTTTTAAGAAAAAAATGTTGTTGTTGTGCCGCCAGCAAGGAACAATGACGATCTGCCAGAATATGAAGAATCAAGTGGCGGTGTACAACCCAGCGCTGTTCCCTACATTGTTGAATCAACACACACCAGAGCTGCAAAAGATTCTGACTTCAAATATTAAAAAGAAATTTCCATCAAACGTTTTTTATTAATTAAAGTTCTCAAACTTTATAACATATCAGTCTTATCAAAACTTGAAAAATTGTATCAAATACCAGAGATTTTAAAATAAAAAATTATACTTTGGCATTTCATGCATTGCAAAGTTTCTCAGAAGTTTTCCCTTAAAATTTTCCTTTTTCTTAATGAATATAAAATGATCTCGTTAAGAACTTCTTAATTTCCTTTATAAATATTCCAACAAGACTTGACGAAACATTTTTGTAAATAATTTTTGAAATTAAGTGGCTTCGTGCAAATTGACCAATACTCGTAGATTTTCAATGAAGGAATGTATGAAATGATGAATTGTGGATCTAAAACAGTTGATTGAATGTAATATATTATGAGCTTTTTGATGTTGGGATTCTTCATCCCAAACTTTCTCCAATTCCTTTCGTTCGTAAATCCAAGCAAACCGATTTGAAATTCTTTTAAATTCTCGAACTTAATTTGTGAAATGTTGTAAATGTTGCAGTTTGAGATCTTCAATATTGTGAGTTGTTTCACTGCTTTTGTCATCTCACGCCACAATGACGTGTTTCTTGTTTTTAATCCATAAAGATTCATCAGGTCAAGCGTTTCTATCTTGGGATAATGTCGGAGAACATTCACGATTGCTTTATCGTTCACGAAATCTCCATCTATCTTTAAATGTTTAAGAGAATTTATCGGTTTCAAATCCTTGTAAAAAATTGATGATTTAATTGGAAACTGTTCAGTGTCCACATGTAAGTCTTCCAATTCTTTAAAATTCTTTAAAACATATTCGAAGACAATTGAGGGAATGTCAATCCCTAAACATAGTTGACGACAATGTTCGGCTTGCTTCAGCAATGGAATTAAATGCATCGTGTCACAATATGGAATCGAATCTAGCGACAGTTGGCTGAGTTGAAATTTGAATTGTGGTGCCTCAAATTTCATTTTAGTATTGCAAATGCAAAACAAGTCACTGATATCCTTTAAATGAAGTGATTTTAGAGTGAACTGATTATTGATAAAGGAAATTAAGCTCTGCTGTTCATCCATATGAATTTGTGAAACACTTAAATAATTCAGTCGGCATTTAATGATGTCAAATACCCAACCACCTTCAACAACTGTTAATAGTTTCAAATTTTTCATTTCAATTGATTTTCCTAGATCATATAGATTGGAACACCATTCAATTGTAAGCGATTCCAACATAGGAAAGCTTTTCATAAGATGATGAAAGTCATTCCCCATGAAAATGCAGTCGTTTAATGTTAATTCTCTTACTGATTGTCCGATGCTTGTCAATGTTTTCAGAATCGAATTCCAATCTTTCACTCCTACAAATGAAGCACGCGAATATTTGCGAGTAAGTTTTGGTGGTTGGAAATCATCTAAAACATCTTGTCGGTAAATTGAAAGCGGTAATTTATTCATTGTTACTTTTGATTGAGTTATCACCTCGTGCCATCTTTTATTCACTTGCAAGCTTTTCTCAAGTGAACTTTTATCAAGATTTGAAAAAATCTCTAAAAGAATTTCATTTGGAAGATCATTCATAGTTAAACATTCTACTCGAGCCCGCTTCGATGATCTTTTCTTAAACTTTAATTTTCGTTTAATTCCAACTGAAAGGAGGCAAAAATAAAATGAAAAATGTGATTTACACGTGAGAACAGAGAAAAATTCTTTACCTCGAATATCTGTCAATATTGACGAATTAAAGTTCAGACAAGAGTTCAAAGACATAATTTAACTTGAAAATTATTTAAAGTTTCAAACATAAACTTAATTAGTTAAAAGACAAAAAAGGTAAAGTCACAGACAAAAAATAAATTTAATCGTTGCAATGTTAACAAAAGTCAGAACGCAAATGAGATAGAAAAAAATCCTAATAAACCGAAAGAGAGAGTTGATGGTCATTCGATGGGTGAATAGCCTTTTGTCAAATTCAGGAAGAACAAGAAGAAAGGCAACACATTATCATTCATAAGAAAAGATTAAAAATAGAATGAGATTTTTAACATGATAATGAATTTACTACGAAATAAAATTCACGAGTTTTTTGATGGATTTAACGGCTACCTAAGTATGAATTATTTTATAAATTGATCTGATCAATTTACGGTCGATAGGAATTATTATGCATATTTATATTCTTACTCATAATTGAGCTTTCGAATATAAAAAACTTCTTTAAATGATAATTCGTGACTTCTTTTATTTAATTGTGTAATCTTCAATTATTACAACGAGTAAATCACGAGTTGAAATAATAAAAAAATGTTCGATTGCTTTAAATTTCAACTCAAAATTTTAAAATATTGAAATTTTAGAAGAAAATTCTATCTATTGACATTGTTTTTGGACAAAATTGTTTGGCAAGTCGAATGCAAGCAGATTCTTCAGTTCGTTCAATTTTAACATTTTTCGTATGTTTATTCCAGAAGTGAACACTGACAGATTCATTTACTCTTGTCATTATTTCATCAGCATTAGAACTGTTGAATAGTTTACTTTTTTCATCATACAGTATTGGATAGCATACTTTTCGAGGTAACACGTGAAAGCCCTCGCATTCTTTCTTAGCAATCATTTGCGTAACACTTTCAGTTCCACAGAGTTTTGAAACTACCGCTGTTACCAACCCTGGACCGTTTTTAGCCCATGTTGTTGCATCGTAGTTCTTTGTTAAATGTTCTGCAAAAAGTGTAGCGAGAGGACTTCTGTCAGCACTTTCCATGTTCCAAACTCCATTTACAACATATTTTTCATTTTCTTGACACGCGAAATTAGGTTCCAAAGTATCAAAAGGTAATCTTGTAATGGTGTCTGTATCTGTGTAAGTCCCACCAAACTTCCAAAGCAAGAGAACTCTGAGAACGTCAGCAGTATGTTCAATAGGATATTTTGCGTCTAAAAGTTGTCGTGATTTGATGAAGTCTTCAAAAGGAGTCCCTTCTGTAAATTTTTCAAGATCATTGATATAATAAATGTGAACATTCGGATAAGTTAATATTGAGTGCAGTTCTTCAAACGAGGTTTTTGTCGGACTGTCCGTCAGGTTGGATCGATTAAATAAGTAGGTATTTATTTAAGTTTAATGATCTTAACACAAAATTAAGTGGATAAAACCAGTGTTCATCTAGCTACACACCCTGATAAATAAGGGTAGCCTGGAGAACACTTATATTTATGCTTGTTTCAGTGTCTTTTTCAAAGTTTTAGTTAATTTCAAAGGTTTGTATATAAAATGCGGTCTTTCATTTTTTCCCGCAACAAAACTAAAGAAATCTTGTTGCTGGTTGCAAAATCTTCTTCTAGCGCTGCTAAGAAGTGATTCTATGTGTGATGTCTTCAAAAATCTAAGTGATGGTTTCACTAATAATTATGATGATGGCTTCATCTGTTATTCATCAAATATTCATATTGTCCATATGGACTCACATTGTCTACATACACAGCGCCATTTTTAAAATTTTTCTTTACACAGCAAATTACTTTCATCCCAGGTTACAGCTAAAGGAAAGACTATTAATTTCTGCAACTGTAAAGGTAACGTTTCTGATCTGATCTTAAAACTACCTCACAATCTGAAAAATAGTATTATTCACATAAACAAATATTCATATTGTCCATATGGACTCACATTGTCTACATAAATAGGTGTTCATTTTGCCCATATGGACTCACATACGTGTGCACTCCAAACGACCTCTCTAAGTTACAATTCAAGGGGCGCTCAAAAAGTGACGTCTCATATTTCAAAAATTAGTTTTCCTTTTTAGTGCTTTCATTTCATAGACCAAAAGTCTCAAGGTCTTTAATAAAGAGATTTTATGAATTAATCAAGTCTTTCATTTTCGTTCATATTCATACTTTTTATTATTTTAAAAACTACTCTCACAGATAACATTATTACATCAACAAAAGTAGGTATTAGGAAATACAGAGCGAAAAATCATGTGACCCATTATAGGAATATCCCCCACAAGAATGTAATTATTTACCTCAATAATGTCATCTGCTTGTAGTTGTTTTACGTGCTCTCACCGACACAAACAGAAAACTTCTATATCCACATATCAAAACTCTTAAAGATTCCATCAAAGAAATGTTATGAATCAATCAAGTCTTTTATTTTTGTTAATATTCACTCTTGTTACTACTTCACAATGTAATTTACTACTTTCAAGCCAAGTTCGGATCTCAAACCACACTGTTATCAATGCTGAGGAACTCGCGGAGGTGGACCTGGAGGATCTTCTCCTCTTCATGAGGAGAACGGGTGTCCGATCCACCTTCTTTCGACTTCTTCGGCTGACAGTGAGATCAGATAGATGGCTGGTGAGGGTTCTCATCTTCAGAGAATTTTATCTCTGAAGGTTTGTAGAATAAATCCCAAATATCCCCCATCTTCCTGATTTTCGCGTTCTGAGATCATTGTATGGATTATATGTTGCTCAATACAATAATAATAGCTAACAAATTTTTCATAGTTAAACATCAGTCATCAAACGACGAGATACAGGGAGCGAAACAGGATGGGGTTTTTTTCACTCCTTTATTCTTAATCGCTTTAGTGTACTGGTCAGTACACTCCTTACTCTGATGATGATGATGAACTTTATTCATATGATGTTCACAATGCTTAGAATTCATCTCTAAAAGGATCTTCGTTGTCCACAAAATATGTCCACAAACTATGTCCACAAAATATGTCCACAAACTATGTCCACAAACTATGTCCACAAACAATGTCCACAAAATATGTCCACAAAATATGTCCACAAACTATGTCCACAAACTATGTCCACAATATATGTCCACAAACTATGTCCACAAACTAAAAATGTTTTGTTGTTGTGACCTTGAAATATCTTTATAATAAAAATATTTTCAAATTTTGCGCCAAAAATCACATAGTTTACCCATATGGACATGAGTGCATTCAGAACGAACACATCATAAATGACGTTGCAGTTTTCCAAAAATTTGAGTATATCATAAATGACATCGCTACTTCACAAAAATTTGGGTGTTTCTTGAGTGACGTCTATAATTTACAAAAAGTTCACGTTCCTTCATTTTCATTAAAACTTTCTCTAGAGAAAGGAGAAGGATCTTAAACCACACTGTCATCAATGCTGAGGAGCTCGCGGAGGTGGATCTGGAGGATCTTCTCCTCTTCATGAGGAGAACGGGTGTCCGATCCACCTTCTTCGACTTCTTCGGCTGACAGTGAGATCAGGGAGATGGCTGGTGAGGGTTCTCATCTTCAGAGAATTTTATCTCTGAAGGTTTGTAGAATAAATCCCAAATATCCCCCATCTTCCTGATTCTTTGCGTTTTGAGATCCGTGAACGGGTTATATTTTGTTCAATACAATAATAGTAGTTAACGAACTTTTTCATATTAAACATCAGTCATCAAGCGACGAGATACAGGGAGCGAAACAAGATGGGGTTTTTTACCCCTATATTCTTAATCGCTTTAGTGTACTGGTCAGTACACTCCCTACTCTGATGATGATGATGAACTTTATTCATATGATGTTCACAATGCAATGCTTAGAATTCATCTCTAAAAAGATCTTCGTTGTCCACAAAATATATCCACAAACTATGTCCACAAAATATGTCCACAAACTATGTCCACAAACTATGTCCACAAACAATGTCCACAAAATATGTCCACAAAATATGTCTACAAAATATGTCCACAAACAATGTCCACAAAATATGTCCACAAACAATGTCCACAAAATATGTCCACAAACTATGTCCACAAACTATGTCCACAAAATATGTCCACAAACTATGTCCACAAACTATGTCCACAAACAATGTCCACAAAATATGTCCACAAACTATGTCCACAAAATATGTCCACAAAATATGTCTACAAAATATGTCCACAAACAATGTCCACAAAATATGTCCACAAACAATGTCCACAAAATATGTCCACAAACTATGTCCACAAACTATGTCCACAAACAATGTCCACAAAATATGTCCACAAAATATGTCCACAAACTATGTCCACAAAATATGTCCACAAACTATGTCCACAAACTATGTCCACAAAATATGTCCACAAACTATGTCCACAAACTATGTCCACAAACAATGTCCACAAAATATGTCCACAAAATATGTCCACAAACTATGTCCACAAACAATGTCCACAAAATATGTCCACAAACTATGTCCACAAAATATGTCCACAAACTATGTCCACAAACTATGTCCACAAACAATGTCCACAAAATATGTCCACAAAATATGTCCACAAACTATGTCCACAAACTATGTCCACAAAATATGTCCACAAACTATGTCCACAAACTATGTCCACAAAATATGTCCACAAACTATGTCCACAAACTATGTCCACAA